CTTGCTACGCCTCGTGCAACTCCACGTCCATCTCGTCACGTGTATCTCCACGTGCATCTCGCCACTCCATGTGCTCCTAGCTATCGCACGCACCACGTGTTCCTGACATCTCGTCATCCTACGCGCTCATGTCTCCTAGTTCGTCCCGTGGCCGTCATCATCAAGCAGGTCACGTAGGCTTAAGATTGCTTGACTACAGATAAGTTAACTGTTCATTTTTGCCAACCATTTTTATATCGCCTATTCTTCTATTTCCATCTGCCTTGTGACCTTCTTTACCATAATAAATCTTGATGGATCACTTTATCATTTCAATCCCTGGCTGTGAATATATTCTGACATGGAGCTCAACAAATTAAATGTGGACGGTAAAATAATTGTTGACCCCCACAATACCATTTCCCCGCATTGATTAAATACGGTTTTGTTGTGCCACAGCCAGCCGCTCGCGATTGTGAAGCTAGTGGAGACTGGAGCCAGGTTAACTCACAATTCAGTGTTGCCACAATAGCCTTTTCCGGCCAAATTTTGCAAATGTGGCCTTTTCTTTAAATGCACTGGCCTGACGAAATTTATTTGGTCGTATTAACATAACATAACATAGTGATGTCGGCTCTGAAGTGTAGGCCTGATGTGGCCTGTCGCCGATTCTTTTCCATTTCGTGCCTTGTTCATAGATCTAAACCTGTCTCTTATACACATCTAGATGTGTATAAGAGACAGCAGATATACCGTCCTTTGACTTACACTTCGAACTAGCGTACAAAAAGAAGGCTTTCGGATTCTTTTTGGCATTTTTAGCAATATTTTTTTTCGAAGTTTTTCACTGCAGTGCGACAAACTTTTTTAGCATGATTTCGAGCTCTGGCATACAGGTTATAATCAGACTCGCTGCGAGTTCGTAAATAACGCTTGTAGGCTTCGTTCTTGGTCTTTAGCTTTCTTTTCACATCGTATTGTCCGTTTGGGGATTTTTCAGGAAAAATATTTTACTCTCGTGTTTTTTGTACTAATTTTCACATTCACTTAAAATTTACTTTTGCATGAGATGAGTAAACTCAACTTTTGATGTGTAACTGTGTCAATACTTCGGTTTAGGTGGCGACACTGGCCGATTGATCAGGGTAAAATGGGGATGAATCCAGTTGTGCACTCTTAGTAATAACGATGGATGTTAGAGCTGAGAGAGCGCGTGTAGTTTTCCATTCTGAAGAGTAGTAAATTCATTAGTAATTTCTGCAGTTAGAGCGTTGTTTCGCGATACATTCAGCCTCTTTTTAGTATGAGGCACTACGAAATTTCACATCGAATTGGCTTAATTTTTTCTATGCTCCTTAAAAACTGGGTTAATGGCTAATTTGACTTTAACAAGGTAGAGTTGTATTTTGGTCAGTTGTGATAACATTTCATCATCAAAAATTATTTTTTAAGCAAATTGCCTTGGACTAGGAAGTTATTCAATCACTTGGGTTCGATTTCTAGAATGCTCCAAGTTACGTTAGGCAACATATTATTTTATGAGCTTTTAAAGATTTTTGATAAATTTATAGAATTGACTTTTACTATTCACCTTAGTCGTGCACTGACTACATCAACTTTCTAATGCAAAAATGAGTTTGCAATAAATCGATTATCATCTACGTTATAAATATAACTTCGCCACATCACTTACGTCGCCGGCCAAACGAAACGATCTAATTTGTTAACAAAACTGAGCCACAACTTTCTAGCGGATCGAAAGGCTTGTAGTCGATGGATGGCAATCGAATCATACAAATCGTAGTTCTGACCAGTATTATACGGGTTTTATTTAGACAGGCAGGTAACATGCAATTCGCTGCATGCCAGGAGCTCATGTAGCATTGACGGTAATTAATATCCTAAAATTAGTGAACTTGATGTAATATTTGTTGGGAAAAAGCCTCTAGAGTAAATGTGTGCATGGCAAATGGCTTAACTACGTTGAATTTACAATTTTCTTTCAATTCTAAATGGGAGGCCGTTTTGGCCTTTTTTAATGCTAAATTGGCCTTTTTCTCTTAGCGCCATCTGGCAAGTGGCAACCCTGTGCCGCCAAACATTGCCACTTTGCCAGAAGGCATTCAGCCAGTGTTGTGTGTGGATGTAACAGTTTGGTGCCGATATTGTAAATTGAAGTAAGATTTAGCTTTCAATATTATTTTTGTACCTATGTGAATATGGCTACGTAACGACTTGAGAGTGGTATCAATAATAATTGCCTGATCAAGAAAAAAATATTTATTGTATTCAATGAAAATTAAATAAGAAATTCGTCGATGTGTGCACAGGACTCGTTCACACAAGTCGCACTGTTGCAAGCGTTGCTTCAGACGTTCATTCTATGCTCTGCTTGCGTTACCTTGAAGTCTATATATATTCTATCAATATATTCTATCAATCTATCCCATACTTATCAATGATAAATTTTGATGGCGTTGACTTTGCTGAAAGAAATCTAGGAACGTTTAATGTTGAAGTTGTTTGATGGCATTTTTCGAATGGCTTTCTTCGAATTTAAAAATAAGTATAGAAATAATTCATGATTATTCATGTTTCTTAGTTAAAAAATCAAAGGTCAGAACGTATAATTCAAATTATTTATCTCATGTTTATCGTCAAGCGGCAAGCAATGAGTGAAATGACTGGAATTTTAAGAATGTAGTCGAACTGCAAGGCTTCTCAGGACTCCAACAGGATAGTCGAGCTTCTATACCTGAGTCTGAGCGTAGGTTGGGCGTCCTTGAAACGGACCAGCTGAATTCAGAGTTCACGTCATGAAAATAAACGTTTAAAAATTACTTTTTAAAGACAACACTTTCAAAGAATCTAGTGTCTCCAATCTTACAGATGTACAATGAATTTTTCATTTAATTTTCGAATATTAAAAAAAAATAATTATTCAATTTTTTTCACTATATAGCTACAATTTTTTTAATATTCAATTTTTTTTACAATTATTTATTCTGTTAATTGATTCATGCATTGCCTCTGACTTCACACAAGTGTGCAAAATTTCAGATCAATTAGACAGGTAAAAGTGTGTCAAATATCAGTTATAAGATTTGTAGCTGACAAAATTATTTTTTCAATTCTTTTAATATTGAAAATAAATCAATTTTTTTTAATAATTTATTTTGACATTTGATTCATGCATTGTCTCCAACTTTACACAAGTGTGCAAAATTTCAGATCGATTGGACAGGTAGAAGTGAGTTAAATATCGATTATAAGATTTGTAGCCGACAAACAAACAAACAGCAAGAAGTGAAGTTAAAGAAAAGTGTTGTAAAAATGCCGTGGCATGACAAAATTTATTTCTATTGTCTTTAATTTTTTTGGTGTGTGAGCGCAATTCTATGTCTGTTTGCTTCATAGTTTGAAGTTTTGCATTATTCTGAGTAGAAACAATTAACTAATAAATAGTTTGGATGCTTTTGGAGATATTAATCGCTACACCTGCTAAGGTAAGGATGTTTTGGAAATTTGGATGAGATTGTTCATAATACGTTATAACGTTTAACTTTTGAACAGCATTAATGAATAATGATAAATCGCGATAGGTATTTCAACCGTGCGCGGTACCTATCTTAATTATTTCACACATCAATGCAAGTTTATCCTGGATATGCTTAGAAAAAAACGTAAAACAAAAATTTAATAGGCGAATCAACTTTCAAAATATCTTGAGGATAATGTAAGGATATATCTTACTAACTTGGTAGCGTAGCCTATTTAATCTCGATATTTTCTTTTTAAATGAAGGAAGTAGACTTGCAGTCCGATTGGAAAATTCTCAAACGGAACATATCCATGGTCTTTCTGGCATCGATGATTATATACATGAATCGATTGCGAACACAAGTACGTGGGTGCCGTTGCTGCACCGAGTCGGGGGAGGATTGCATAACGGAAGTGCCGAGGCTAACAAACCAGTCGCCCTACCTAGTGCCCAACTTATCTTCTATTATAACATAACATAACATAGAGATGTCGGCGCTGAAGTGTAGGCCTGATGTGGCCTGTCGCCGATTGACATCAAATAATTTGTGACAAAAGGTGCTTATACACGGGGCTAGTATTAGCTGCGAGTATTCGCTGCAAGTTTTCGCATTACAAATATCGTGACGATTTATTCTGCAGATGCGAGTAGCTGACGCATTTGCGTTGAGGTTATTTTGCCGTCTAGGATTGGCTGTAGGGCTGCGGCAGCCGTAGTGCGGCCATCTGTGCCGCTGTGTATCCTGCTTGGAGCAAGTGTTGTGTTACTAATTTTATACTTTTTTATAAAAAATCTAAAAAAAATTTATATAAAATAAAAATTTATGAATTTTAATTAACTATTTTAACTAGCAGCGAATAATCGCAGCTAATACTAGCCTCGTGTATAAGCGCCTAAATCTATAAATCCTGGAGCTTTTCGGTGGTTGATTAATTATCCAATGGCATTTTATTAATAATTGAACATTGAGAACTTCTAAGTTTACCTTTTATAACACGGTTGGTAGCATTGCAATCATACTCACCTTGGCTTCTATGTGTGCTGAGCCGAATCGAGTAATTTGCAAGTAGCAAAACAATTGGTGAGTAGAATTTTCTATTGTAATTTACTCTCAACTTAAAGATCTATTTTGAGTACAACTACATCAACAAATTGAGGCCAATTGGTTTATTGGTTTCGCGCTGAGGCCAATTAGTTTATGTCGTCCCTACGGTCTACCTGATATCATGTGATTTTGAAGCACTGCCGCGAGTTAATAACCACGTTAATGTAGGCATTTCAGGTGGAATTTATTTATTTATTTCCGTTATTGCAAAGCACAAGCAGAGGTTAATAAGTCTCGTTGTGCTAAATGCTTTTGCAGAAAATTATAAGTAGAACTTAGTTTAATTAGGTCGTAACAGCATCTTTTTCAATAGAAAAACCGAAGATATTATTGAATAATTTTCAAGGGCTGTGTGTGTTTCAGGTGCATTCAACTTTCTTGTGGTAATCCTAACATCAAAGAATTATTTTCAGATTTTATTTAAAATCATAAATGTATTTGATGATGAGTGCTCATCTGATAGGATTGTGTTAAATTCCCTTCATTTGAACCCCGATGGTGCAGGCTGTCGTGTAACGCATTTTCTGTATTTTGAGCGTGATGCTCAGTTTGCTGTAGGTATTCAGGATGAGTGGGTCAGTATTAAGACATATTCTGCGGCGTTCATGTAGAGTCAGGCGGCTAATAACTCTAATTGGAGCAGCGTCTTTACTTATCTGGCTTGTGTTTTTGGTGGTTGGAGGAGATAACCCAACATTTTTGTTTGGGTCACACCAGGCAATAGTTCATCGTGCAACGCCTCATACGAATGGAAACCCCGCGGGCAATGGACGTAGAGTTTTCTCTCAAGGTTTGGATGATTTGATGCCGTCTCCTCTTCTAAGAAGAGGTCCGGTCCCTAATGTACTCGATTTTGGAGAAGCTAAACCTGACGACGAAAATGTGGCCCGAGAAGTGATTGACGCTAGAGATAACGCCGAACTCAAGTCAGACAACAAAATAAAATTAGACGACAATGCTGCCAGAGAAGAGCATTCTGGTGAAGCATTAGTTTTGCGAGAGAAGAACACTTTACAAGGATTTGTGAGGAACAACGTAACTAATGAGAACTTGAATGCTGCTCATGATGAACAAGAATATAGCTTTCACCAACTCCCTGAGCACCAGAAAGATACTCCCGAAGAGAAGTACGGCGCTTACAATAACTGGAGGAACCTAACCACAACCGAGATCAATCGTTTGTCAGTGCTTGGTCGCCGCATGTTCTTGAACGAAAAAATTGGTCAAGAACAAGACAGGATTTTCACAATACATATTTGGAAGTATGTAAAGCATATTGAAAAGAGATTATTGAAGAAAGGGTCTTCTGTGAATTTTGACCCGCTTGAAGATTGTTCTGTTAGCAACTGTAGAGTGACTACGGAAGATGGCGATGTCGAAGCTGCTGATATCGTGCTGTTCCATTTGCACAGAATCAAAGGTCCTCCAGTTGACGTCCCTAGAGCTCCTGGACAGATTTGGGTGTGGATGTCCGACGAGAGCCCATACAATGTTTTTATGGTATCGAGTAATCGCGTACTGAGCAATTATAATGGATTTTTCAATTGGTCAATGACCTACCGAATGGATTCGAATGTGCCAGTGCCATACGGACGAACTGTTCCTCTACCTAAGGATCAATATTTAGATAAAATAGATGATTACTACAAAATTAAGCAAAAAAATATCAGCATATTAGGCTCTAATTGCGGTGGCATCAATGGAAGGTACAAGTATATTGCCGAGTTGCAGAAATACATCGAAGTTGACGTGTACGGAGGGTGTGGGCCACTCAAATGTCCGGGTCATTTTCACAACGACTGCGACAAGTTAAATGATTACAAGTTCTACTTGGCGTTCGAAAACTCAAACTGCGATGGCTACATAACCGAGAAGGTGAGTGTTTCAGTTTTTGTGGTCCTCCGTTTTTGTTGGTTTGAATGTGATCATATTCTTTTCAGTGCAGTGAGTAAGGCAGTTCCACACGCCTGACTCATGTCATGATGATGCACCGATAGGCAGATTTAATTCGATGAAGATTGACGGCTGCAGGTTTGAACTTAATCATCACTTTTTTGGGCGGCAGGTGTGGTGGAATGCACTTAACAAAGCTGCTGTTCCTGTGGTGATGGGGCCTCCTAAGCGAGACTATGAGAAGCTTCTTCCTCCGAAATCCTTTATTCATGTGGACGACTTCAAAAATCCGGAGGACCTTGCGCGATATCTGACGTGAGTTTACTCATAGTTCAAGGATTATATTTTTCGTTTTAACTGTTTACCGGATGAGACGTTACTCCAATGTCGTAGCATTCCTACGATTTAAACGATATGTTCAATTTTTTGTCATGCTTTGCGTAGTTCCAACTATTCGTGAAAATATCTGGAAGATGATAGGCTTATTTATAGTAACTAATTGTAGCTTTCTTCACTGCAGCGAAGTTCATAAAAGATAGAATGAAATTCAATGAAAATTTATTGACAAATTTATTTACCTAACCTACATATCTAACGAATAAATGGGTAAAATACTTACTAAAATGTGTACTCGTGAATTTATACTTTAACATAAATCAATGGGGAGAAGTCGATTCCATTAATTTTGTTGAACTGGAAGTTAAATTACTTGCGTTCTAATTCCAGCTTTTTTTTTGGTTCTGTGAACCACACAATAATAAGGCATTTTCATTTTCCAAGCAAGTAATATTTGCTGACACCCGTTGAATTATGTCGAATAAGCAAATTTTGTTTCTTTTTAGCCTGGCACTGCAAATGTATAGGTGCTAAACCTACAGACGCGTATTCATGGCACTTATCGTGCTGCTTTATCTCCTGGATCTGAAAATTTATGCTTAGAGTGACATAAATTTCGAGTCAGTTCGAAATTGTTCTTTTCCATTAATGGCTGGCCTGATTCCCATGTACATTAACCAGTCTCACTTAAATTCAATTCTTATATCCTCGCCCATTCATTTAAACAACTGCTCCAGGTTTTGTGTGAATTTCAGGTACCTTTTAAACAACCCTGCCGAGTATCAGAAGTACCACGATTGGAGAAGACGATACCGGGTACTCAACGAGCACGGGTACTTCCAGTCGCCGGTGTACCACATTTGCAGACTCTGTGAGGCTCTCAACTACAACGACAAGAAAGATCAGCGGGCTGACTTGGAGCATTTCTTTGACAGAGATAGCCATTGTTATCCGGGCCAGCATTGGAGCTAGAAGAACCTCATTTGCTGCCTAAATACTTCCCAATCTTTTCATATCTATTATGGTAATTGCAATGACAGCTTTGAGAAAACGCACCTGTTTTCTAACGATACTTAGACTTACTTCACTTCCTCTCCTAAATTACTAAATAATTTACTTCTAAAGTTGGTGTGAAAAACATATTTAGACCATCATAGACTACCTTCAAACTGTCATGGACATATTCTATGCAAGAAAATTTTTCTACATATTATGTGGACATTAATTTAGTCTTAATTAAATTAATTAATGGACATTAATTAGTCTTAATTAATTTAGTCTTAATTTAATAATTAAGACAGTTAATTTATCCAAATTTTATCAGAACAAAGACGATGAGCGCCCGCCAAGCGGTGGCGCGCGAGCTTACATCAGTGACAGGAACAGAACGCATGAATAATATTTCTGATAAAAATTATGCAATCAAGTCAATGGTGTGACGTATACGCATGTGAAACGCTGTACTTCTAGTTATAGGATTACAGGAAGTAGCTTGTCGTTGTATATCAGCTTTAATTCTTCACTGAGCAGAAGCCATACTTCATACCGCATCAAATTTAACCCTTAACCAGTGCCTGCATCAAATGAAGATGGCTGAGTTTTGAAGATGTACTATGTACTTGTAGTCAAAGTTCTGAATTTTTTTCCACAATATTATAGCCCCCTTACTAACTCAAATTTGTACTCTTCTTTTGAGTGCTTGAATCTAGATTCCGTAATTACTTTTCTTAATTAAATTTTTTAATTTATCAATTTAAAATCCTGTTTCAAGTAATATGACGTTATTTAAATCTGCATGGATCTGCTTTCCTATTATTACATCAGATTTTCCACTTTTTTATCCAGCCCCATACCTCGTAATTTTTATCATTATGCACGTCTTCTATTATCATCTCTTACCAGTCGACGAGAACTTCTAGCCTTCTTCCATACTTCAGAAGACAGTAATATCATATCATTATCATAGTGCTGTCGGCGCTGAAGAATAGGCCTGGTGTGGCCTGTCACCGATTCTTGTACTTTTCGTACCTTGTTCGCAGATCTAAAAATCCGGTCCTTTGACCGGATCTTTTCTAAACTGACGAAAATTTGAAATAGCTAACAGACTTCCAACAGGTTCGAAATGGTGCTAGGCATTTCAAGTCTGAACATTCATTTCTCCATAGCTTTATCTAGTCTGTTCTAGAACGCGTTTATACTCGGAGCATCAACGATGTAACAAGGGAGGCTGTTCCACATGTCGGTGACTCGAAGCGAGAAGAAATGTTGTCGCATGGATGTGTTACAACGCAGTTTTTTAGTTTATAGCTGTGGCCCCTGGTGTTGGTTCTTGTTTCAAATTCTAGTAATCCTTCTGGGACCTTGTATAAACCATGAGTATACTTACTGTATATACTTCAATGAGGTCATCACGCAGACGATGTGTAGTGACGTGGTGACTAGCAATCTAAAGCTGACTTTATAAAAAATATATAATAACAATACATTGTATATATTCTGACTGATGACGGTAGGAATATCAGCCCGACGTAACGCACAACGCTGTACGGTTCAAGGCAATCTTTCATTGACGTCTGTCCACACCAGGGTCGACAGGTGTGAGTTCGCACATTACATTCGCACCCACAGGTGTGAGTTCGCTCATGCAGGTATTACACTTAATCAGCACTAACTATGCACCTGTGCGCTAGTTTTTTTCCATGTGATACATCGATTGTTGAAGCTACTACTAAATGACAATAATTTAATTCGAATTTCTTTAACTCCTTTCGGGCTTAAAAATGTTACCATCATGACCAGAATATCAGGAACAAGTTAACGTTAACTGAATTACATAGCCTGAAAAAAATTGAATAATTTTGGACTAACCGTTTGAGGCGTACACTGTAATAGAGGCCTCGTGCGTCGCTGCAGCAGCACCGCTTGCACCCGATCGATGACCGACGATCTGCTGATAACCAGAGCTGGGCAGCGCTACTTTTAAATGTAGCGGCCGCTACCTGCTCTAAATATAGCGGGCGCTACCGCTACACCCACTAGATTGTAGCGCCGCTACCGCTACTGAAAATGTAGCGGCCGCTACATGTAGCGCGCTACTGTCCACCTCTGCTGATAACATACCATAAGTCTCCTATAGTACCAAGTTCGTCCCGAGCTCTGCTATCGACGTAAGTTCGCTTCCTAATCTAAACATCAGGGTTTAAGTCATTGCGTGAACATTTCTCGATAGATTTACGATACCGTAATTTCTAATGAGCGCAAGGCATCTCATGAGAAGCAGAGTACATTGTGCATGATTTGCACAGTACTGTACATGTTCCACAAGCACCAATCTTATCGCTATGACTGATAAAAATAGCGAAATGATAAGGTATATATCGTATATCCATTACCAACTGAAACGTCGCATTTTATTTTCAACTTGACTAACTAAACTAAACACTGATTGCAACTACAAGATGCGAAATATTTATCGGCACATTTATTTAGAATTTAATATTTTGTCGATTTTTCCAATGTAACAACGTTGGTCTACGACGGTTTTGACCAGGAACGAATAGCTACCGTTGACATATTTAACGCAAATAAATTTTGTAAAGAAATTTGCCTGAATTTGCATGCCTCTTGCTTTGATTCCCGACACAGGTATGCCATTTTCCAAGCGTCTACAGCTTACCATTGATGCTATACAAGCATGTTGCGTAAATTGATTTGTTAATATGAACATATATATACATTTTGCAATTATATTTTACCGGTGTAACTCGGACTTTTTTCTGTTCACAGTTGAGATTTTTCAAAAATAAATGCATATTTTCCTGTTAGTAAATATTTGTAGAGTGTAACGAAGATACAAAAGATCGAAATTTATATTTAAATGCCATTCAAGTCTATTGAAAGCGCAATGAGAGATAAAACGTAACTTTGTCTATTATGTTACGCTAAGGATGATATAAATAACATTTTATTAACGCCGAGGTAACGCACTGGGCCCTGGAGCCTGGGCACGGAAAATCGTTTCTTAAAAATCTGGGCACGTATCTGCCGCATATATTAGAGAGCTCTGAATTTACCCTTGCGAGTACAAGATAGCTAATAAATTGAATTCATGCTTCGTTCTTTAGAGCCGCTGAATAAATGAAATAAACTTCATCTTAAAAATTTTATTTTAATATCACAGCCAAATCAGATGACGCCCCAAAGTTTGCCTCCATTTTCGTCTTTCCCCAAATACGACCATACGTGCGTGCTCACAGTTCCTAGCCAGCACAGCCCCTCCAACCCTCCTTTCCCATCGTCTCCGCCCCTAGCGCGCGCACTAACTGGCATCAAATTGACAAGTATCCAATGCTCGGTGAAGTCAAGCATGTGGCGTGAACAGATATAGAAGAGAAATGATAAGATAGAAGTGAAATTTTGCCCAGGGCACATCATTGATAACAGAATGCCTCTGACTATAGCGCATTTGGGACAGCTGATGCACGATGTTGTTGCTGTTCGCCGCTGGTAGTGGTGCAGGAGCGGACGATCAGGAACTGCCTAGGAACACGTCCAGTCGTCTCTTGAAGGTCTCCATGGTGAACTCCCCCTCTCTTAGATCCTTTGATAGGACGTTAATCCGCCTCGGCCTGGCCATGCCAGAATTTGCATGCCAAGAATTATCACTTACGGGAATACCATTGTGCGTTTACAACCGTTGAAGGTTTACATAATTTACCAACTGTCAACTTTCGTCAAGAATGCGATATTGTCTACCAACAATTGGCCATGACTGATTTCGCACAAACTTTGTTCCTATTATCGCGTGGGAATTCGAGCAAAAAAATTAATAATAATAATTGTCATAATAAAAATCTACTTCATATGAAATATGTATTAGGTTGATTCCAGATGTTCAGATTGCGAATCTTCTTGGCCTTCGTTAGCTTCATCTTTAACATCTTCATCTTCGTCTTCAGCCCACCATGATATCATCCCTAGCCCTGATCCATCTGTGCTTCCCTGCAGAAGCAACAAACTGATTTCACGTTCGGGTTCGTTGAAACTTCAGTATTATAATAAGAATTAAGTTACAGAAAAAATTTCACATAACTGATTTGTATAAGATAATTACTGTACTCACGTAGATGGTATAAGGATGTACTTCAGAGAAAGGATCTTTGGCGACAGCAACAACGCTGCCGGCAGCGGCAGCCGCGACCGCAGCCTGGTGCTCAGCAGCCAGCTGTGGCCCTGAAGGCGTCGTGTCCACAAAGCTCTCTGATATCACACGTAGTCTGATTTTCTGGCCTGAAAACGAACGCACTAGATTTCACGACCTGCTTGGCATGCAAACACTTTTCGGGTATGCCTGTCAGACGTAAGAAAATAACCTTCTGTTTTAATTAAATCAGTAAATACTCTGGGGAAATAAAACGATCTCTTTGATGCAATAACAGAATATCTCATTCTTCAAACAATATACAATAGAGCTAAAATACATACCCACATCCATAAAAAGCTTGTGTTCCTCCTGGTAATTCCAAATCCAGACTTTTTCAGTCTCATCGTAGTAAGATCCAGCCACCATGTTTTCTGGCTTTATAAAGATCCCAGAGAAAAATCCCAAGCTAACTGGAAAGTAGATGCAACGATTCTTGGTTTTACTTGATAATATTTACAGAGCTCAACAATAAATATCAAGCAAAGTAATACATTTTACTAATAACTGTACACATGTCTCAAAGATGCACTTTAATTGAAAAATCATAACCCTGAAATCAAAGAAAATACTCCTAATATGAAACATTGAGGCACAAAACCTAAAGATTCAGGGCTATCTCATAAATTTCAAAATGAAAAATTCACATAGCCCAAATGAAATTCAGAACACAATATAATATAAAGTAATGGCTATATAAAGTAGGTATCTTACCTATGAAGAAACTAATGAAGTAAAAATACAATGGGCAGTGAATGTAAGAAAATAACTTAACCATTATTCCAATAACAGATCACCTTGCAAGCCAGATGATGAAGCTGACAAGACAACTCCCTCGAGAATTTCCTCAATACTGGGTCTGAACACCACAAACTGAAATGTTGTGCGTGTGTGGGAGGCCCCATCCCCAGGATAGATGTAAGAGTTCTCCATCTTCACAAGGTCAAAGGCGCAGATGCATAGACCGACATTCAGGACAACCTAATGTGAAAATCAAATGCATTTCATAAAAAAAAAACAATCAAACACATAAAACCACAATTAAAAATATGATTAAGTAGACAGATTAATTTGGAATACCAGCAATAAAATGAAATTTCTTACAAATTGTTTGATGGGTATAATGTATTAAATGTAACACCAACCTAGAATGAATAGGTAATTTAGTTAGTATAAAGTAGGTTAAACACTCTAGTAAACTTTACAGCTAAAAAATATGTATGCAGGCTCGAAATTTAGTTGAACAAACTTAATAAAATAGCTTACTGGAGACTAAGTCAAGTTACAACTGTAGAGTTTCATTCCAATCTAAATCAATTTCACTCAATTGCTGAGTCAGACTCAGAAATGCTAAAATGTGCTAAAACAAAAACAAAACAAATAATATATGTTTAAAAATTACTTTTTAAAGACAACACTTCCAAAGAATCCAGTGTCTCCAATCTTAAAGATGTACCATGAATTTCTCATTTAATTTTCGAATATTAAAAAATTATTTATTCTATCAATTGATTCATGCATTGCCTCTGACTTCACACAAGTGTGCAAAATTTCAGATCAATTAGACAGGTAAAAGTGTGTCATATATCAGTTATAAGATTTGTAGCTGACAAAATTATTTTTTCAATTTTTTCAATTTTTTTAATATTGAAATTTTTTTACTCTTTAAAATCATTTATTTTGACATTTGATTCATACATTGTCTCCAATTTCAAACAAGTATGCAAAATTTCAGATCGATAGGATAAGTAGAAGTGTGTTAAATTTCGATTGCAAGATTTGTAGCAGACAGACAAACAGACAAACAAGAAGTGAAGTTAAAGAGGAAGTGTTGTAAAAAATAGCAAATAACTCATTGCCTAGTTCTCAAGTGACAACAAAAAATGATTTACAAACTAAATTAATGTTTTATTTCAATATGTTGTAACATGGACTGGTTAACATATTCACCGCTCTAAAGTCAGTCTACCAGATCACAAATAATATACGTTTAAAAATTACTTTTTAAAGACAACACTTCTATAGAATCCAGTGTTTCCAATGTTACAGATGTACAATGAATTTCTAATTTAATTTTCGGAAAAAAAATTAATGTTTCAATTTCTTAATGTATAAATTTTTTTCCAAAATTATTTATTCTGTCAATTGATTCATGCATTGCCTCCAACTTCACACAAGTGTGCGAAATTTCATATCTATTGGACAGGTATGTGTGTCAAATATCAATTATAAGATTTGTAGCTGACAAAATTATTTTTTCAGTTTTTTTAATATTGAAAAAAAAAATTTATTCCTAAAATTATTTATTTTGTCATTTGATTCATGCATTGTCTCCAACATTATGCAACTGTGCAAAATTTCAGATCGATAGGATAAGTAGAAGTGTATTAAATTTCGATTACAAGATTTGTAGCAGACAGACAGACAAACAGACAAACAAGAAGTGAAGTTAAAGAGAAGTTTTTTAAAAATATACTTAAATTACCATAAGTTTGTTTTACAAAATTACTAGCAGAGATGTTAAAGCTTAGCCAAGATTTATTTGAACCAATTTTAAATTGGAATGCATTATCTCCAACTTAAATGTCATGTCTTACCTCAACTTATGACATACTTCACAAGTCACTGATGACACAGTCCAACCCAATTCTGCAGCAGGTTTATTATTGTAAACATGATCACAGCTCACAGACTTACTTTATTGGCTAATTTCCTGTTGAGTTCTTCCATTATAGCTTGTTCTAGAGGAAGATTGAACTTCAAAGGAGGAACTCGAACCATATCTCTCATTTCTGATAGTTGGAACATCCTGGATGAAATCTTTAGCTCTGACTGGAAGCAATTCAATAAAACAAATGAAGTGAACTTCTGAAAAAGGATACAAATCAGAAGGAAGAAAGAGTATATACATTTAGTCATGATTTTAGCATCAACTCAAGGCACAGGTATATGGATGCTTGCAGCAATTTTATAAGTTAGCAATGAATGATAAATTGGAAATTAACATATTTGGAGAGAAATTTGTTCATTCAAGTCTCTGGGGCTGTCATCACTTAGTGCAATGGCCTAAAAGAATAATTTAAAGAGAGAATATGTGAAGGGTACAGAGAAGGTGTAGGAGATTTGATTTTTCCAAGTAGAATGCAAGAGCCTCAACTCTGGAGTGGGCAGCACAGAAGCTCAAGTTATTGGAGATGAAGGGTAGTCATTTATGGCAGAATTGGGTTTGTAAGTCTTTTACATGTTTTAGAGGTGCGACTGAGGTTACCGTGTTGCAGAATTTATTCCACAAGTTATGCTTCACTTCACATTTCATCTTCTAAATGTTTGTTGGCTATGAGAGTATATAGTATATATCTAGGATAAGACTTTTTCCTTAGAAGCTTTTCTGGGAAACTGCACTGCACATTTTTTAATTCACCAGGGTTTTTTGTAGTTTGCTGTTAGTATCTCTTTTGATTTTGAAAAGACCTTGGCAGTTGGCACTAGCTGGTCAGCCTGGTGTCATGTTCATGATATTGCTTGCATATGTGACGCACCTTTCCTCAACTTTTGGTTGTGGCACACTACCTCTCTGGAGAAGCTGAGCTAACCATTTACCATGCCTTGAAGCATTCCCTAACTTCTCAGGTGGGCAAAATTTGGATTGAAAAGTTGTCAATCATGAATAACAAATGAGAATTTCCTGAAGTCCTGAACTCATGGGGAAAAAGGAGGATTTTATGGACAATTTTCAAAAATGTAGGCAAAAATGGGTCATTTTTAATAATGTTTACTTAAGAAATTATTTAGGGGCCCTATAACTAATGCAAGATGGTTGGCACAGATGTATGTGCATAACTAATGATATGACCAATGTGTGATGATTGGCACAGACATACCATAAAATGGGGTTACTTTGACCGGCAGGGTAACTTTGACCACTTTTTGTTTTTTTAACAAAAACCCCCAAAACTCAAAAACGATTTGACACAGAAAAATTTTGTCAATGGCCATCAAAGGCCTAATACTGAGGCTACATAACACAATAGAAAGATTTAAAAAGTTTGCATATCTAATAGGTTAAAAAATTAATAATGTGACCCACAAAAAAGAGCTATTATTTAAAGCCTGTTGGAGTACCCCCTCCAATTTTTTTATTTATTTGGTAAAATAACTCCAGGCTTTGATGCATTATAGTAGAACTCTTCTAGTTACATATGCAAAAGCCAAATTTTAGGAAAGTGTCATAGTTTGCAAATGGGGGGCACTGCCCCCCAATGGGGGAACTTTGACCACCCACTGGCAGCCGTGACGGGGTAACATTGACCGGCTTGGAAATTAAGTTAAAATTACCATAGGTACTTATATAACATATTTTATGTTTGATATACCTATTTATGTTTTTTCTTTATGTTTCAGACTCTACAGAGTCTTATATATGGTAATTTTAACTTAATTTCCAAACCGGTCAATGTTACCCCGTCACATNCTAACGCGATCTATTGTGTTCTAACGGGATCTATTGTGTTCTAATGCTGTCTCTTATACACATCTAGATGTGTATAAGAGACAGCAATCATAGTGGCAAAGCAGAGAGTTTTTTAGACTCTTCCTCAAGTTCATTTTTGAGTCCTATAAGTAGACCAGTAAAGTATCTTGGATACCATAATTATCATACATAAGAAATCTGTTTAATCTTGAGTAAATGAGGAAGTTAAAAATGAACTGATTTTAAACAAGCACTGGTTTGCCACTAAGCTTGCAATATTCATCCACTCTCTGCACAGTGGGCAAACCAGAGCTTTTTTTTGGAATCAGTTCATTTTTAATTTCCTCAAAAACTCAAGATTTAAACCAATTTCTTAAGAAAATGCTGGTATCCATGAATACCATGATACTTTATTAGTCTACTTATAGGACTCAAACATGAACTTGAGGGAGAGTCTAAAAAATTCTCTGCTTTGTCACTATGATTTGGAGTTATTTTACCAAAAAATAAAATTGATTTTACCACCTGGTCAAAGAAACCCCAAGAGCTGGGGTAACAAAGACCATCACTTTTTTTCAAATTACATCAAAACTATGAGAGGCAGGAGCCAGCAATTTATGGTGAGTAAAGCTAGAGAGTAGAGACTAGTAGAGAGTAGAGTATAGACCTGTATTTTGCAAGTTTCAATTTAAGTTTAACTTATCTAGTAAAAAAAATGGCATCATTTTGAAGAAAAGTGGTCAAAGTTACCCCATTTTACGGTATAAGCATTGCTTTCTTACTGTGGCTGTGGCAATAAGCAATGTCACAGTCATGGCTGCTATACTATACTAACAACGTTGAATATCTTAATATAGGTATATTTTTGCACAATCAGGCACAGAACAATGTAAATTACGTCGGTTGTAGTCCGTAGCTTCCTGGAATCACTTTTAAAACTCTTGAATCAACAATCCCACTCCCTGGAAGTGGAAGGCAGGAGTCTGGACAGCCTGGTGTCAGCCTACAGGAAAAATTAGTAAAAAAAAAACCTCCCAAAGAGTCCGGCGGAACGGATAACAGATAGGATACTTTTTCTAACATGACCAGCAAAGAAAAATAAATAAACTTAATAATAGATTGATTAGACAATTTATCTAAAGGCAAGTTCTTAAATCTCATCAAAAAGGTTATCAAAGTGGTCAATACTCAATTATTTATGATATTTGTTTGTCTAGCGTAATATTGTGTGTGAGGTATTGTGTTACGCCACATTTTCAACTGAGTTGAGTTTCCCGCGTCAAATTACCCTGTGAAACTTGAGTGAGCGGTTATGAGCCTTTTCGGCAGTGCGACGTGACATACTACCGAGTTCAGACTATAAAAACAGCTGAAAAACACTCATCGGTCGGTTTTTCTATTTTAACTCGTACACAAGCTAATTTTGGATTACTAAATGTTAAGAGACTTGAGTACAAATCTCATGAAATTTATTACGATAGCCTGATAGGGGTAATTTAGTAAACGGTGCTTCACTCGGTAGACACTAGACATGAAAACTCTGATACTACTGCATTGAACGAAAGAATGGATGATGGACGTTGGGCGCGAAAGATGTACATTTGGAACTTGAAAATGAGCAAATGCGAACGTAGTCTAAGTCAAAGGGCCCAAGGGGCAAGTGTGAGTTACGTATATGATATGAGAGTATAATGAGACATGGGCCTACGCATAAGCTGGTGCCTTCCGAATGTCGGAATGGGGGCATGGCCGCATGGGCAGGCTGGGCAGTGGGCAAAATGGACCAAGAGAGTAGGTAGGCTACCACCTAATGGCTGACGACAGTTACAGGGTGTAACATGGATTATATATTGAATGAAATGTCAAAGAATGGTAAAAAAATAGGAAAAAGAGTAAAATTATGAGGTTTAAGATTATGGAAGCTGCTGCAGGAAGCAAGGAATGGAAAGAAATGACTGCTCAAGATTGTATAGCACTGTAAAATGGGGTAACTTAGACCACTTTTTTTATAAATGATGCCATTTTTTTTACCAGCTAAATTAAACTTGAATTGAAACATGCAAAATACAGGTCTATACTCTAGCTTCACTCACCATAAATTGCTGGCTCCTGCCTCTCATTGTCTTTATGTAATTTCAAAAAAAGTGATGGTCTTTGTCATAGTGGCAAACCAGAGCTTTTTAGAATGCGTTTACCCTACAAAGGAAACATGAAACTGACTCATGACCAAATTTATTCATACCCTGAATCAATAGTTAATATCAGGGCCTTTACTCATAACTTGTTGTAAACAATACAGTAGTGTAATGATCAACAAGGTTCCTGCATGTATTAACCCTAAGTTGTGTCCATCAGTCCATTCATCCTAGGCATACTGTTCCAATTCTTTCAACCTTTTAGGTTGTCTCTTTTTTCACCTGTGTTTTCAGTACACGCCATAAATTCTCATTTGTAGTGAGATTAGGACTTTGACTAGGACATTTCATGACATTGATGTGAGAATCCTCGAACCACTGCTTGACTATATTCAATGTGTTCTTCAGATTATTATCTTAATGAAGAGCCCAATCAGGACCAAGAGAAAGTTTTTCTGCATCCTGCTTGATGTTATTTTTGATATCAAGATATTGTTCTTTTTTAATGATCCCGTTTACTTTAATAGCCAACATAGCCTTGCCCTTTTTCATATGTTTATACCGGGACAAATTTTACCTTCAGTCCCGTATTTTTGTCCCAGCAATTTCTCGTCTTGTCCTGTTTGTCCTGGTTCATTTTGAGAAAATTATTCCAAGATGCAGGAGTCTAGTTGAAAGCTATTTTCTAAATATTTTCTAGCATTAGATTTGTTGCACATTATAATGACAACCATTCCTAGAAGAATAAGTTGTAAATGATCTTTCTGTTCTTTAAAATGGGAATTTGTTATATTTCTGTAGGAGTATGAATAATTTTGGGCACAAGTGTATATAATTCTTATATAGTATAAAAAATTTGTTTACTAATAAACCCATTTGTGACAGTTAAATTTACCTCAATTATCTGTTTAAAGATATTAATGATCTTGTTATTGGTGTAAACCATAAATTTTTCAAATCTCTTCTAAAATTATCAGTTCTTAACTAATTTTTCACATTTGCTGGCAAGTTTTATAGACAGATTGATGGTTCAGGCATATGACTATTGCTTGGCCAACATTCACAAATATTTTTGTGTTTTCACAAGGTTTCTTGGCTGGCTAATTGTCCTCTTAATTTAATATCAAGATTCTATATAATATAAGGTACATCAATGACACTTTTTAATTTTCAAACATCCCTCTCATGTCAAACCATTCTTTGATTATGTATACTTGCAACATAATTCTATCAAATTTACTATGGAGCTTGAATCTAACAATAGTTTGTCCATCCTTGATTGCAATGTTACCAAATCTAATGGCTGTTGTCTGACTTTTGTGTTCCAAGAAACCAACATTCACCAGCCTAAGTACTAGTTTCTTTAGTTTTTGTTCATTCTGATACAAATTGAATGGGCTTCAAACATTATTACACAGAGGTTTTTGCATTTGTTCTACATACCATGCTGTACACACTGAGTTTGAACTTTTACACAATATTTTCTCAGTTAATGGATTTCTGGCAAGTTTGATGTTTACCCAATCAAGAAATTCATGCCAAAGCAGAGTGAGGTTGCTCCCAAGCATGATAGTAGGAACATTATTTATTGTTTTTCTCCATAGTTTGGACCTGCATCTGAAGCTATGTCAAGAGAATTGAGTCTTATTCAATAGATACTTTCCAAATATTAATCTTCATATTGTGCTGGTAAACAATTTCACAGTTGGTTCTTTCTTTAGATATAGAGATATGCTCCCTGTTCATATGCAATCATCCCTGGTTTTTCAATATTGTTGTGCATGATAAGAGATAATTTATGTAGCAGGAAACTCGAGGTTATAAAAAATGGGAGGAAAGCTGTGGTTGTGGCTCAAAAGGTAGATATATTTAATGCTTAGTTTGTCTAGCCTTGTTTGACCAGACCAGCCAGTATCATATGGTTCTTAGTAACAAGTGGCAATGTATGTGCAGTTTCTGCTGAGTGGTGACTTGTGCATTGATGGTAGTTGCTGCATGGAAAGTAGGTAGATATACCATATGTGCACGGAACAGAGTTAGCGCCAGTGAAGATATTGGATATTTGAGAGGCCATATCTGTTAAAAGTAAAGTGACTACATTTTTTCATTAACATTTTTCACTTGTAAATCAAATGAAAACACACCTTAGTGCTGCTATAAATCCAACAAACAAGGAGGCAGCTAGCTAGCTGCCAGGCACAAACTGAACTTGAGTCAACACTGCTCAAAACCTGGAAATTCTAAATGACAATGGGTGTGCATGAAATTTTGATTGGCTACAGCTTGTTTAAAGGATCTTTGGTCAATCTGATTGCAAGCTAAAAAGCAAAGCAAAATACAAAAAAAAAACTTATTTTTTACTGGAACTTGTCAAATCTATAATCACTTAGTTATTTATCATTTTAACTCTGTTAAATGTGCAAGCTGATCAAGTTCTTTAAATGTAGGAATGAAATAACTATGTTTTTATTCCACAAAATTATGTAATAAAATAAACCCATCATCATCACCTAGAACTGGGAAAATTCTAGGAGATAAAATTTTGAGTAAACATCTTATAATGACATTCAAACAAATTCTGATTAAAATTGAAATCAGTAAAAATTAAAATATTTTCTGCCTTCAATATCTTATCTTTGAGTTGAATCTTTGAAGTTGATACATTTTTTTAGATTTTATTACAAATATATATTTTTTCTAGATTTTTTATGGGCCAAATGTTAGCCAACAGCTTTGAAATTTGGTCATTGGTTACCATTGGTATTGTTTTTATGAATTTATGTGCTTTGAATTTCAATTAAATTCCTGTTGCTTTCCAGCAAAATTGGGTACCAATTCAACCATGCCAAAACGCCGCCAGAACACAATCAAAAATGCATCAGCAGAGGGCGATGCCATGTTACTCCAGAAAAACAAGAAAGTTAAGAATGGTGGAAATGATGAACTGCCTGCTGATAGATCTGAAAGTAATGATAAACCTGAAAGCTCAGAGGATAATGGAACTACAGAAATTCCTCCCAAAAATGGGAGACCGAGAAGTAGTAGGATAAAATGTGGCACAAGCAAAATTTCAGCTGTAAAACCTGCAGAAACAACTGCTCGGCGCAGTCAAAGATGCAAGCCGACTGTTTCTTATGTTGCCACTGCTGATGAGAAAGATGACATGGAGTCTGATGAAGAGGATCAAAAACCTGCAAAAACAAAGGCACTTAAAGTTACAAAAACTGAGGTGGATGACACGGATGATGAAATCAATTCTAAGAAATCTAAAGCAGCAAAAAGTGCTCCTAAAAAAAAGAGTGGTGGCAGCAAGGAAAAGGCTCCTGTGAAATCAGGTTAGCAATTTTTTACTAAACTTTTCTTACAGGTGTTTTTATTTATATAAATTACTCTCAACTATCTGACTCCTGAATAATGTCTGACTATAAAGAATATGGGCAAGTGCAAGTTGTGAATATATGAAACCTATGCTGTGTTAATTCTAATACTATGCTACTGATTCTGGAATTTCTTGAATAATTATTCTGTAATGAGGTTCAGCATCAATTTTTTCCCTTGTGCCTCTGCCTAAACTTTCCATACACATTCAGCAGTTGAACGGAAATTGATGAAGAAAGGCCGAGCAGCTGTTGATGCTTCATGTCCTGTGGCAGCTACATCCCATGTTCTTGACGAGGGGAACACCATCTGGGATTGCATGCTCAACCAGGTACCATTATCATGCAAGAGAATGTTTCTCTTTGGGTCATCACTCACCACAAATTTCGTTATAGCATGCAGTGATGATACTGGCCTGATGCATCTTCTTGTTACACATCTTTAAATTAATTCTAATTGTATCATTCTTACAAAGTCTGTTTCCAATTTTAAATTTTAATTGTCAAGTTGTTGCAATTAAATGTAACATTCCCGGCCGAATATGTTTTCTAACTTGAATATATTCGATTCTGTGTGTTGAGGAAGATGTCTTATGTCACGAAATTAACTGGTTCACTACGTTTCCAGACAAACATCCAGTTCAACAACAACAAGTACTACATTATCCAGTTGCTGGAAGATGACAAAGGAGGCGTGTACTCAGTATGGATGCGCTGGGGTAGAGTTGGTGCTCATGGTCAAAACTCTCTGAAGCCTTGTGGCGGTGACATCGAGATGGCCAAGAAAATCTTCTGTGACAAGTGAGGCTATTCTTGTTGTCTGCTAAATTGTTATAAGCTCGTATGATGCATCTCAGCTCTTTTGATAACGTCCTGCGAGACGCGCTTTTCAAAAAATATATATTTGAATCAATGTTTAGTTTCAAATTGTAAAGAGTTGCGGTCACCACTATCGTTTAAATGCTGAAATCCTAATATTCATTTCATGTCATTATTTTAGTTAATCATGGATTGTTAGAATTAGCCTGGATATTCCAACTGAACTCTTCAATTATTTCAAAATGATTGCAATTGTACAGCATTCGACATCTATAGTAGGTTGCTTCAATAATGTGCATCGTATATTTTTAACTAATAATTAAACTAATATTTTTAATTAATATATTTTAACAAAAATAACTACTTGATTTCTTTTATTTTCACTGGAATATTCCTATTACTATTATAACTACCAGAATGTGTGTGATTAGTGAAGCGTTTTAAAAAATTTTTATTAAGGGCGAATTGCACCATGCCTTTTCAAACTATTATTTTTTTGCTAAAAACTAATCTTTCTTCCAACGATTTTCTATTTATCTTTTGATCTGATTTTTGCACCATTGTGCTGGCGTTTAATGTCTATGCACAAGACCTATAAATTAATACCTAAATTTCTTCTAGGTTTCGTGACAAAACGCGCAATGATTGGCATGCACGCAGCGAATTTGAAAAAGTCCCTGGCAAGTACGACCTTTTACACATGGATTACTCTGATGAGGGGTCAAAAGAACCAGAAGTTAAAGACGAAGCTGATGGTTTGAAACAAGAGCGCAAACCCGTGAGTCAATTCTATATAATTCCTTGGTTATTTCAGTAATTATTTTCAACTTGTACTACCTCGTTAAAGGAAAAGAGGCAATATATCACAGACTAATAAATCTATCCTACTCTCTCGTTGTCAGTACGGAATCATTAGCATCCAAGAAAGCAATACTTACCATCTTTTAGGCAGCCAGGTTTACAGTCTCTATTAGTTCATTCGTTGGTAGTGATGATTATTGAGATAAAAATTTGATACTTACAAGCAATTATGATGTTAAACAAGGCAATTTTATTTGCATTGGGTATTGGGGCAATTTTATGATGCATTTATTTTGCAGTAGTTTTATGATTCACAGTTGAGTAAATATAACTCTATTTATTGACGTGCGCAGATCAAAAGTGAGCTTGATGACGCAGTGCGGCAGCTTGTAGAACTGGTGTGCGATATTAAAATAATGGAGGAGGCGGTGATGGAGATGAAGTATGATGCTGTCAAGGCTCCTCTGGGAAAACTTACCAAAGAGCAAATCAAATCTGGATACCTAGCACTAGTTGAGATCAGCAACATAGTTAATGTTGCCTCTGGTAAAATCGACAACAAGGCTCTGCTCGCTGCATGTAATGCATTCTACACCAGGTAAATGTAAAGTTATTGCCAAGTAATGCTCAGAAGTTTCATTTGCCTCATAATTGTTTGCTTTAAATAAGAATTAATATCAATTTATCACCACCGGGAGATATTTAAATTCCATGTGTTGATTTTCTCCTGCAGGATTCCTCACTACTTTGGCATGAAAGTGCCTCCCTTGATCCGCACTCCCTCTGAGGTACGTCAAAAGCTGCAGCTACTCGAGGCGCTCGGTGACATTGAAGCTGCTATGACATTCCTCAAGGACGCAGCTCTGGATGATGGCTTACACCCTGCCGATAGTAAATATAAGGCAATGCATTGCGACATTAAGCCTATTGCCTCTACAGATGAGGAGTATCAGGTTTGTGAAAGATTTCTTGAGGAAAATAGCGTACCAAATAATGCCTTGTCAGACCTACTTGCAACACCGAATAAAAATTCTGTAATTATACTTGATTACATCAAATAATCTTGCATTTTATGTTTAATCTATGAGCAAGCACGTTGGAGACTTTCTCGTGACCATAGCTTGTATATTTTAATGATTATCAACTGATTAATGAGCGCATTTTCTTTTTCTAATTGTTATTCTTGAACGTTGCAGCTGATCAGCAAGTACGTTTCACTTAACCACGGCAAGACGCACTCTTCGTATAAGCTTCAAGTTGAACAAATCTTTGTTTGCGAGAAGAGCGCCGAGCAAGACCGCTTCATGAAAAGCATTGGCAACCGCAAGCTGCTGTGGCACGGCTCGCGCCTCTCTAACTGGGCGGGCATCCTAAGCCAGGGGCTCAGAATAGCTCCTCCCGAAGCCCCTGTCACCGGTTACATGGTCAGAACTTGAAGCAATATCACGTAAATTTCATTTTACAGTTTGTGATAACTTTTAAGTTTTATTTAGTTAATTCTCATGTCTATTTGATATTGAAAAATCTATCCTCATAAGGTGAGTTATTTGCTTTTATTTTTTTAATTAGTACCGTATAAATACACAAAATCCTCGTAATAGCATGGTTCTTTTACGTGAAGTACTGTAATGGCTGATGTTCATCTTATTAACTATAACACTTTTTCCAGTTTGGCAAGGGCATCTACTTTGCTGACATGTGCAGCAAGAGTGCCAACTACTGCATGGCTTCTTGCGCCAACACCACAGGGCTACTGACGCTCTGTGAGGTAGCACTTGGCACGTCCAAGGAGCTTCTGCAAGCGGATTATCAAGCCGACAAACTGCCGTCCGGCTACCAATCCGTCAAGGGCGTCGGGACCATGGCTCCTGTGGAGAGCAATCAAGTCGTTATGTGAGCACCACGATTAGGACTGCGTTAGCTCCGCTCATCGCTCGAAAAAACGCTTTATTATGATACTTCAAGCAAAAATATTCTATGATAATTGCTATTTCGGTTACAAAATTCCCTACAATTAATTACACCGCTCTTTACATCGTACTCCTGAATAAATAATGAATTTTTTACAGTATTAACCAGAATTAAGTACAAAGGACTTGTGTCTTTTGGATCCATTGCTCTATTCTTCTTAATTGATCTAATTAGCTAGTCTTAAAGTATTCAACAAAGATGTGTTTTACATCTGTGTGCAACATTGATTTTGAAATATCATTTACAACAAAATGTCGTGATGTTAAAGTTACAATTAATAACGTATTTTTGTCTCAACGAAATTGATAATTTCAGGAAAGACGGTGTGGTTGTACCGCTTGGGCCTGCTTCTTCAGCAACCAAGAAAGGCCTGAGCCTCCTCTACAACGAGTACATCGTCTATAATCCAGCGCAAGTTAGACTGCGATATCTCGTCAAAGTCAAGTTCGACTTTTCACGATAGGCTAGTACAAATGAGAACGAATTCATTTCAAAAACGCAGTATGTTACTTGTTTCAGCGAGAACACGTTTAGAAGTTGGGATGAACAACCAGCTATCAATTTTTGGAATCTCTCATTTGATCTGCAGTTAGACAGAAAACTCAGCTCTACCGCCTAAGTGATTTACTAAAATCATTAATTATATCAGTTCGTACATACGACAGGCTCTACTGAATTCCGAGACCAGCTCGTTTATATTACGCACAAGTCTTACCTTTAGATTCACGGTTTTCAGATGTTGCTAACGATTATTACTAGCAAGCGTGAAATCTTTTTGTTACAGCTAGGGAGTATTTACTTCATTTACATATCGTTTTTTTATGTAGTAAAATTGTAAGTAAGTGCTCGAGAAATTCACAGCCCATTATTTTGAGACATTCCAGACTCAGTGTGTGGCACTTTTTCTCTGTGACTCGCGATTTCATTACTTACACTCGTAATAAAGGATCTCGTATAACGAGTTGATTAACCTTTAGTTGTTGAAAAGTTTTGAAGTGGTCAGCTGGGGAAAGTCGAAGGTGCTACGGCAGTCCAAGCTCCAAGATACTTTACCTTAAAGCCTGCGACTAGGTATGCTGATATGCTTGTACCGGCATTTAAGACATTGTGGCGAAGCTCAACCTTGGCAGGATTGTTCATTCATTTAATCATTAGTTTCGACCGCGTCAGAGAAAAAGTCTATTTCATTCGAAAAGTTTGCTTTCTCCATACCTTACGTCCATAAGAAGCAAGCTGAATATCGGCACAAATCGATCGCGGCGCTGAAGTCTGTCATGTCCAACCCGTTTCAATGAAAGACGCTTCAGTTGATTGGGATCATGGGATCATAAAAAAATTCATTCAAAAGCGACCATAACTTGTTTGGCTACATGCGCAGCGCCTTTCTAACAGCGAACACAGTTTGCGTAGCTGCAAGTCTGGCGCCCCTACGCAACCAGGGTCGATATTGTCGCCGTTGGTTGATCAACGAATGTACGCGGGCACGCGCTGTCAGATTTTGGCTCGCAAAAATTTCACCATATGTTGAGTGAGGCCTTCTGGCGTCAATATTTCAAGACCTCTGGTGTAGACTTATACATAAATTACAAATATTATTAAGAGTTAAAAATTACCGAATAATTACGTCTACAAATAATTTCAGTATTATAATTAAAGACCAACATGCAACCAGTTCCTAGAAAAAAAATCCAAATAATTCACTCCATGGCTTCACTTCGAACAGTCGTATGTCTCTTCAAACCGAAAAATTGAAGAAAAAGACAGCAGTTACATGAGTGAGAAGACAAGTGAATGGGGATTAAAAATAAACACACTTTACAAAATAAAGCTTTTAAGAGCGTGTACTTCATAGTAGGTAGAAACTAATAACAAAATAACTTAAGTTCTAGCACACTGTTGAAAAAGTAACTTTATGTCTCCCTGCCATTGTCTGCCTTCTATGAGAGACAAAAATTGACAACACACTAATGATGAAGATTTTACTGATTTATAACAAGAAAATTGCAAAAATTAAAGTTTCGTTTCTTATCAGCAGCTAAATTTACGATGCCTCGGCAGGCCAGGAAGACAGCATCGTACTTTAGTCGTACTTAAAAACCAAATAATAATTTAATTAATGTCTTTATAATAACCGCAAAATAAATTTACGGTTTCAAAATGCCAGGGCTCGGAAGCGCACATCCAACCTGCAGAAAAACTTCGATACATTATAGGAAGACAACTGGCGTGTCACGTTTTCAATAAGAGCTTATGTAGCACGACAGCTCAACAATCAATGCGTGTGGCGGCTACCATAGCCCAACACCTCACCACGACCTGCAGTGAATGGAGACCATCTAAGAAACGCCTCTCAGGTACTCAAAACATATTAGTCGTCAGACATTAAACAAATTGTGAATATAAAGATAAAGCGAGTGATAAAGATAAAGCGAGTGCCATGGCAAATCACCGCATATTCATTTAATACCTTTCCAAGTAAGGTATAGTACACCTAGCTAATAAATTCTTGGTTACCTCGCGATCCTAGAAACATAATGATCTTAATGCGAACTGTGGAATCTCACAAAAACCGGAAAAATGCCGAATTAGCAGCTAAACCAAAATTTCATACCCTCCTGAAGTCCTGAACTAATCTCAGTCAATGTTTCTATGCGTGCGAAAATTGAGAGGAATTGAGGGAAAAATAACGTACAAACAAATCAACACAAAATACTCATTAACAAGGCAACATAAGTAGTAGTAGGATGGTTAGCTAGTGTTTCAGCTATCAAGCTATTTCGCATCGAAGGTCAAAAGATAACATCGCCAGCGAGGCGAAAGATCTCAATTATTCAAAATCTCAAATTAATCATCACCCACAAGGGGCGGAAGGTCTCAATTGTCCAGCCCACTGAAGCTGGCTCGGAAGAAGCAGCGTTAGCATCTCAAAAGAGACGAAGTGACAAAGAGGGACAGGTGAAAAGCAACAGAAACTAAGACACTCGAACAAGAGGTCGCTTACACGGGACGTCGGCCACCCACACGAGAGAGACAGAGAAGGGAAATGTAAGGAATCCTACCTACATAATAACTCAACCCCACAACTGAGATCTGCAGTCAGACACCGCGAGCTCAGTGGTGGGGCGCTTTGGAACAATCCCCATATAGGAGCGCGAAATCCCATGGGACTTCTGACGAGCACAGACACGTCAGAAGTCCCCCTTGAGGGAGAAGGCAAAATAAATAACCTAAAATAAGTGCGATCAATGTACAACGCGTAACTCGATTCTTTGCGATTTGAACATTCAAGGTGTGCTTTTCATTCTGCTTTATCGAGATTATTAAAATTCAGATGATTATTTCAATGCACAGGACAGTAATGTATATCATCTTTACGGACAGGAAAATGCTCTGAGAACTCATCCTTATTTGCCGAATTCGTCAGCGATCTAAGCAGGTGGTGCTGTTTGAAATATTGGTTTCTATAACATTAGTTCAATATAAATAATGGTTGAATATTGTTCATATGTCAAGTGGTTGTAAAAGATGATGAGCTTTAATGATACGGTATCGGAACTGGAGATAATGACAATAAATGATAGAAAAATAGGCTTAAAACTACCGAATTTCATTCAAAGACAAGGAAACAAATAGGCTGATAAAAAATACGAAAGAACAGGTTCCATTTACTGCAGATGTCAAAGCTGAAATTAGTGAAATGAGAATTAATCTATCAATAAAACACAGTGGGAACTATAAATTGAGAGGAGAGCCACCGTGGTAGAAAAATATGCAGTGGAAAATGAAATATAGCAATGAGAAGATACTTACCAAATGAATAATTTTGATACTATAGAACTAATTTGAATCGTCCCCATCTTCAGTCTTCTAAACAAACCTCGAACAAGAGGTCGCATGGTTCAAAAAATTCAAGAGGACAAATGGTTCAAGTTCTGAGCTACGATTATAAAAGTTCTACTTTACACCATTGCATCGAAAATTTAGTTGAACTTCATTTTGCCGATAGATTGGAAGAAATACAATGATAGTGCCAGGAAGGATGACCAATTCTGATGACAAAATTGTGAAAATCGTAGCAGCAAATTGCAGTTCACGAATTCATCATGTAGAGCAGTGGTTCCCAAAGTGGGTGAAATCGCCCCTCTGGGGGCGGTGGAAAGATCTTTGGGGGCCTCTGGAAAGATCTGTGTTTAACCTTTCTCTTTCAAAATTGCAGCATAGGTACTAGATATCAAGAAAGAGGCATTTGTTTTTATTTGTGTCTGTCAGCGGGGGTGGGGGGGCGCTAGAGATTCACTGGGGAGCCAAGGGGGGCGCCAGCCTGAAAAAGTTTGGGAGCCACTGAGGTAGAGAATACTATGATCAAAGTATTTGATATTATATTAATCAGGTATCAAGGGAAGTTATTCAAGTTTAAATATAAATAGAACTCTTACTCTTCAGACCGTTTTTCATGACGATATGTTGAATTTGATTAGCGTTTTCTTCATTTATAAATTCTAGGTGAACTTGCAATGTAAGCAAACTATTGACATAGGCACTAAAATGGACATCATGAGCTTCTCCAACAAAATTTCATTCAAGCCTAGGATCACTTGCTACAAAGTCGACATCAACTTGTTCTAGAGGGATCACAAGTGAATGGTTTTCCTTACTCTTATTCAACGGCCGGCCATGGAACAGAGGCCTTCCCTGATGATCAACGGAGTCTACGCCTCTGCCCGAAGACTGAGCTGGCAAAGACAGACGACACAATTTCCATCTTTTTCTCGCAACAGTCTTGAGCTCTAAACTGCCACTTGATACGTCAGTTTGGCTCTCTATATTGGCTGCTTCAAGGCAAGGTGGTGGCAATTGTCTCGACTGCTCCTTGTCCATATTCATTTCAGTTTGTGAAGCTTGAGAAAAACTGGGAAATGATGAGGTCTGAGTAGATTTTTCAACGAATCTTTTCCTTCGAACTTGAATCCACTTATTGCAAGTATCTGGTCTGGCTTGTATACCAAGACTTATGGTTTCAGGTAGCACTTGACAAGCAATATCCTTGTGCAGCAACACTTCTTTGGTTTCCTTGTTAGTTGTCTGAAAACGAGATTTTTTATAAAATTTGCCATTAGTGGCTAAAAAATCTTCAACAGCTTTTCTATCATCCTCTCTCAATAATACTACCGGGTATTGAGCTTTGAAAGGTGTGTTAAATGATGTAATTTGTGTCTCCAGTCCTCCATTCTCAGATGTAGATTTCAGTTTTGAGATACATGGGGTTTCTGATGATGATGCAGTAATAATAGGAGATAAAATTTGATCGAGGGAAGGAGCAGGATTAGAGGGAGCTAAAGGGATGCAAGACGAATCTTTAGGAGATGATACAGCAGATGGCGGGACAGAGAAGGGATGATCTTCATCCTCCCCACAGGGAGTACAATCAAGTATATTCGAACTGTCGTTAACACTCTCTACTTTCAAGTGCTGACTGCAACTACGAGTATCATTTCCATGCACAGAATTCCTTTCCAGCACCTGATTTATGCTTGTATTTATAGAGTTTGCACTTGAATGGCTTAGTTTTTGTTTCTTTGAGGATGGATCTCCGCAATGGTGTTGAGATTTGTGTACTGCAGCACTATCAGCAAAGTCACAACCGAGTTCAAATTCACGTGGAAGGTCAGCCAAGTTGTGGGAATGTTTGTGTTCATTTATTGGTATAGATTGTTTTGCATCTTTTAGGTTAGGGTGAACTCCACACTCAGATTGGAAGGCTGTGAGATAAGCAAAGGATTTCTGGTCCAAGCTGGCAGGAAGGCGGCCATGAAGCAGCTCCAGAGCACCGAGTAGAACCCACTTGTGCCAAGGTGATGTGGCGCTCAGAGCAGCCCTCAACACCACACTCGTGATTATCTGAAAATGATCAAAACTTGAGATGACAAACACAAAACTGCTTGGAAAAAATTAGCATTAAAAGATTCCAGTCAAAGAATTCATACTTAAAAATTTTTTATGAAGCACACATCCACATTTATTAGGATCTTCCAAGCAAAAGGACACTAAGTCTTAGTCTGGCAATTTCTTTAAAACCCTACTGTTTATTTAGTATTTAAAACCCTACTGTATGCAAAATTTAGAAGCTCTGTGGTAAGTATGAGTCGTAAGTTTCCAAACCTTCATGCATTAAAAGGAGAAATTGCATTCGATGAGAATTTTTTGTTTTTCCCCATGGTCACTACACTCAGAACATTTGATATACAGTAATGCAAGATTAAACATGTAAACATTAAGGATAACTAACTTCCATGGCATTCAAGATCATCAATTTGTTAAGTGACTGATAGGTAAGCCGTATCATTTGAAAGTATTGCTGTAATGTGGTATTTTGAAAAATTAAGGATACATTTTGGTGTCCAAGCAATAGCATTATAAAATACTCATAGTTTAGTTAAGGAGAATTGCAGGGGGTGATGTACCTAGAGTATAATGGGAATATGATTAACAATAATAGAGGAATGATAATGTAGATTCAAACACCAAAAGAGGGACAAGGCAGGCCTTTTTAGATGCAGACTTCAAGTCAGCATGTGGTGACTGGTCAGTCAAATGGATAGTTAGTATCCAGAAGAATCATGCGAGATAAAGATAACCATAATAAAGATAACCATAACCCAACATAATTAATTTAATGATCATTTGGTTAGAGCACCCTTATTTTTTAATGAAAATTTCACAAGTGAGAAGGTTATGGATGACCCTTTCTATTTGCAATTAAAGTCAAGGATCAACCAACATGGTCAACTGGAACTGTCATTTCAATTTTAGAAGAGGAGCATTGCTGGTGGTGATCAAACCAGGGTCACCTCACTTTTGACAACTCACCTAGCAAGCCACTCTTCCAAGCATGCAGTAAAGAATAACTTTACTACACCACTTTTAGAACAAGATATCTCAAAGTATTTGCACGTTAGAAAAACATACTTGATCAAATGCATGAAAAGATCTGCAAACATTGCATTGTGAGCATAGAAAGTGAACATAATTCCTGAGCCCTCATGAGATCACTGGACAAAAAAAAAACATATCATAACATTTTTATTGATTTACTGTTGACTGTTTCATAGATGTACCATAAAACCAATAGACCAATGACAGGGTGACTTGGATAATTTTTAGTGCTTAATTTCTGTGATACAAATGGTCACATGGTAAATTTATAAATAATATCTCTTTATTGCATTTTTTGGCTATCTTGTGGTACTTCAGGAGGAGCCATCAATACAATATTTATAATGCAAGAACTTATTTAGTATTTCTTTCTTTCTTTTTTTAAATTTGTTAAAATTGTCCAAGTCACCCCATCAATGGTCAAAGACCTCCCATTTTATGGTAGAAAATTTGTAGATGTTTTATAAAAAATTGAGATAGGTGCATATTAGAATTACAATTATTTTAATGGGCATGGATAAAAGTACAACATGGCAAGACTAATCTCACTAAATTTAAATTAGACCTCCAGAAAGCCTTTTCTGCAGGGGCAGGGGCCCAGTGGTTAAAAGTTCAGAGTACCAGGATTGGCGCAGAGAGGCACGGGTTCTATACCAGCTCTGTGCGCCAGTTTCTGGTCAGAATCGGCAAGGAGGCCGGGCGGTTAAGCAAAGCACAATTGTAGCAGTGAGTTGCGAGATCAAGCCCGCAAAATGCTGCGACTGTTCTGCGATGTTCAGAATCGGCGACAGTCCTACAGCCTAAAAAACTCTGAAACCGCTATTATTATTATTATTATTAATGTCCTTAAATGCTTCAAATTGTTTATTATTGTGATTTGTATGGAATATTGTGCACATGTTATTTGACTCAGAGTGCTTAAAAGGCTCCATATTTCAAAATTTGTTCAATTTTATAGGTTTCATAATATTCCTCATCAGAGAGATGAGCTATGATATTTTCATAGAGATGAGCTATGCTATTCATACCAATGCACAATAATTCTGGAAAAGGTGATTGTTATATTCAATATCTATCAGGCCAAGTGACTTTGCTTCATATATTACAGGCTATAAAGAAAGGCACAAACAGATCCAGGACACCAAACTAATTGCCTCAAAGATGCAAAGGTTAACAGTGTGTTAAACTTGCATCTAATCCTTGTGGTCATATCAGATGTCAATTAAACATCTTCATAGATAGTGATTTATGATCCAGAAGCCCAATGGTAAATGATTAATATGTATTATAGCATTTTATTGTGTATAGTCAAATGGGGTAAGACAGGATCCCAGCCTTCATGGGGTAAGAAAGGACCAGCCCATGGCATGCATTCTAATTGCACTGAATTCAATTTGACAAAAGAATATGTTAGAGCAATCATTGTCTATCATTTCAGTGCTTGTTTCAACCCTCTTCTGCAAATAATAAATTGTTAGCTAATTTTTAAAGAAAACCTCTGTAAAGAAGGGTCACAAAATAGTTAACCCTATTTGGGAAATAAGCTCTGTCTAATGACAAAAAAATTTTTGGCCAGGTTTGTGGATGTAGGCAGGTAACCTCTCAAATGATAAGCAACTTTTGAGACATACTAGGCATTTCTATCAGCTACCATCACTGCCTGACATGTATTCTAAAATGGGGTAAAAAAGGACCGGACATGGGGTAAGACGGGACCACTAAATGATCCTGTTTTGCCCCCACAAGTGGTACTATCTTACCCCACAAATGGTCCTGTATTACCCCACAAATGGTCATCTCTTACCCTACAGTTTATCAAAAACAGTTTTGTGCAGTACATGGAGTATTTTGGTAAAAATTTCTATCTTTTGCTCAAACTTCATTATAACTTGTTAGCTGTTTTAATTAGAGAAATTTAGTGCACTACATATTTTAAATTGCATCAAAGGGATGGAGAAAATAGGGATGTCTCTTCCCATTAATGAGCTGCAGAACTATGTGCAACATTGGCTGGGGGAAAAGTCATTGTGTGAAACATAAAAAATAATTATGATCACAACTCTGTGAGAGGGCATGAGCTATGTTTGATGAAGTGCACCACANCGGTATCAGATTTGTACTTTTATTAAAAACTTTGTAGTTTGTAACATAAGAATTACCTGTTGGTCCTGTCTTACCCCAGCCTGGTCCCATCTTACCCAAATGGGGTAACCCGGGTAAGATGGGACCAGCACACTTTTTTCAATCTATTCAGAAAACTATGTTGGATGCAAAATGTCTGAGTTGTAGCTTATAAGCCCATTGCATGAATACACCTTGTGATAGGTTTAGGGTTTTTTTTAGTTATTCATGGTATAGATGCTACAGGCTTGTTAGTGATTTTGGTCCTGTCTTACCCCATCTGACTATATGCTGTTGCTAACACTGATAAAAACAAATACAAAGGGAAAGGGTGTTGATCCATTGTTTCGCCGAACCAATCACAGGTTGAAAGCATCCCTATCAACCAATCACAGCTTGAAAGCATTCTCATCAACCAATCACCGCTTGAAAGCATCCTCATCAACCAATCACAGCTAGAAAGCAGATAACATTACAATTACATTAACCAATCACAGCTGGAAAGCTGAATGGGGCTAAAATCACAATCCCATCAACCAATCACAGCTGGAATTCTGGAAAGGGATAGGATATGTAAATAATTGACTGAAAGTGTAAGGTTCCTGGCCTTTCCAAGCTTTCAGGTCCTGCTTTCCAATATGCTATGTGTACTGGTTAATTTAATATCCCTCTAGAATTCCACACTGGTGGTAGACTGGTAGGGTTGGTATTTCGATACGTTTTCTTATATTGACATGAGAATATATTACCTATACAGAATTCCACACTGAATTTTGTTTGTGAATATGATTGAACTTGCAAGTTGCAACTGAGCATGGATGCAATTCATGGTCAAAACTCAGAATCAAGATGGCTTGATGGCAACTTGAAGACACCAATATCTAAATTTATTAGCCATCTTAATAACTTCACTCCAGGAATTAGGTATTCAATATCTATCATGCTTGTCAACTACTCAATCAAAAAATATCTGCCAAGATCATAGAAGTTTCAATTGCAGGTCTTCTGATCCAATAATATACATAATAAAAGAATCTATTCATTCTTTACCTCTCACTAAATTCAACCTTTGTTGTAACTTGTACCATTCACTTCATAATTTGATGCCAGTCCAGTGAGTCCACAACTAGCCTAGGCTACACAGTACACAGTGACCGACTGTCCGACTGGCCGTTATGAATAGATTATAATTATAATGACCTAATTTGTGGCATGAAATTCCCCAGAGTGATTAGGAGCTTTAGGGCAATTAATTTTCAAAAATAACATGTACAGATTGTACACTAAAAATCACTGGGGACATGTACACTTGAAAATCACTAGGGAGTAGGTACATATCAGCCGCATAATCAGCGCGAGTTAAACAGACCAGCCAGCGGGAAACAACAACTTACCGTAACCGAACCAAGAAATGTGTAATTGACTAATATTAATATATGAACAGTCTCGGTACCAATCTACTTACAAATGATATTTCAGATTCACGTACTCCTTCAGGCAAAGAGAGATGAGGAATCTTCTGCCCTTTGAGTGTTCCGGGAGTCATTATGATACGGAGTTCACGCAATAAATTTCAATATGGCCATACCACGCGAACTGTTGCCATCGAGTTATGATAAGCCATGTAGAAGAGGAAAGTTGTTTAGCAGTTAATCCATTATATATTACTGGTGCAATGAATAGACTTATTCCCAAAATGACACAGATAATAAAAAAAAACTTTTCATATATTGACCCAAGTTCCCCGACTGGAAGATAAGCGGGCCACGCCAACGAAAACGTCGACCAAAACGAAAACGTTTCAGGAATCAGGATTTCCAGTAGTTGTACCAGCAAACTATGACTTATACGGTTAGAAAGTAAGTCAGAAAAGCTAGCGCTTTACACTTTTATTTAAACAAGAAATGCAAAGAACAAAATCGCTATTAAAATAATAATGGCAACGATTGCTGGAAAGATAATTGTTCGAAAAAATTAGGGCTACGTTAAGTGTGATGGTTAGAAACGAAATTACTCGAGCGAAAGGAAAGGTACTCGAGCACGATTACCGGAGCTTCTTCTTCTTTTCAAGGTGTCCACGCTGGGTGGACTGAAAGCCACAGGACAGCCGCAAGGGTGACCGTTGGGCCTGAGAGCTTATGTTATGTTGGACTTCTTGGTAAGGAAAGCTGGCCTCTAATGTGCCTCACGACCTACTCTGCCTTACACTCGTAAACAAAAATCTGAATAAATTTTGATCGGTAAAAACTCGGCAATGATAGAAATTTTATGATAATTTACTAGGATAAAAAGGTGGAGCAGCTGCAATTATAACTGAGCCGGCATTTGACGCATATAGAAATATCCAAAACGATTTCTCCTTCATGAAATTGCCAGCTAAAAATCAAGGGCGCTTTTTTAATGAACGTCAGTCCTCATCACGTCATCAACTTAATTCATATTCGTCATACAATGTGTGTGCAATAGTTTCAAATTGAGCGACAAAGTTAAACTTGCTGAGAGAAGCCTGGTTCCGTCTCAGTTATATTTAGAATTCAATGAAACGTGAGAAGCAAATGAATTACTGACATCAAGTTTTAAATTCATCTCCACATTCGTCGTGTCGACGATTACAAGTTTTTCAAGACAAAGATTTTCTGAACACTGGAAAATGGACCATTGAAGTGATGTGCCAAGATGCTCCGGCAAAGTTGCATCTGAAAAATCCGTTTGATCCACAAAATGAAAGGTTAAAAGGACATTACAATAAAGTTTCTTGAGATGCATCTCAATTGAAATATGAATTCTGCACCGTTCCCGATTCATCATAAGGTTGTTAGTTCATATTTTCGCTGATTATTTGGTGCAATGTTTGGGCGAGATTCCTATGCGCGTCTTCATACACATCGAATAAAATTCCTTGAAATGCGAAAATATAAAAAATGGTGAATGCCTCTGTCATATTTAGAAGCTTGCGTGCTTCATGTCGTAATTCCACTTCGCCAATTTCCTTCTCTTGAAGCGACGGATAAAATAATTCAAGAAAAATAGCCTCTCAATGGCCTCACATGAGGTAGGGCTAAGACTGCATTTTTATGAAAAAACTTGCATTTCTTCCAGCGTGTTAGTATTAATTATTGATGTTATTTTTTCAATGCCTGGGTCTCACCATGACAATACAAGTGATAAGTCTGCAGTGCTTGCTTCACAATACATTCCCAGCATCGTGAAAGCGACCAGTTAGTATTTACTTTTATTCGTCCATATGCTATGCTCTTGATTATAAAATTTATCGAATTTACGAAGTTGATATCATGAATACAGCACATCGTCTAGCCATGGAAATCAACATGACTTTATTATTGCCTGAATTGCTGTGGATTTTTTAACATCAAGGCATTTGAAATCGCCTTGATAACTTCTGATACTGAGCATGATCAAGGTACTTGAAATTGTCAGAACCTAAGAAAGGCGTTTTCATTGAAAGGCAAGAAGCAAATCATTCCTTTATTAACAAAATCACGGTAAATTTACATGAACGAGACACCACGCAGTGGCTGAAAGACTGACGTTGTCGTGCACTGACACCGCGCACGCTTTGTGTGCATCCCGGTCCAGTATTGAAATGCTCATTAGTGGTGAAATGGTGAGCTTGCATGTAATAAGTCGCGCTGCGTTGTAAGTTTTACAGTTGATAAAGATTTTATCAATCAGGCTAGAAAAGTAACCTACATTCCAATATTTCGTATTGTAGTCTTGCAAGTTGAACTAAATGGGGAACCTCAAATCAAACATATTCAAGACTAATGCCCAGGTAGGAGAAAATAAATTTGAACAAATAAATTATTTAAGTCAACAAATTTTAAACCAGAGTATGTAATAGTGAAACGTCTCACACACTATATGAGTAAATCATACGGATAAAAATGATACTAGATGATGGCACCAAAAACAAAAATCCGACTGCCGATTCAATTAATTTGAATAACAGGTTTTATGGGAGCTACAGTTAATTCCTTCTAACAGTTCACAATACATATACATCCAACGAAAAAGCCTAGCAAAACCTAAAAGTTAATTTTCATGCATGCCAGTATACCATTTGACTACACGACGTTGTGGAAAAGATGCTATACATCATTTGACGACATAATTCGCCTTATCACAAAAGCTAAAAATGCCTGCGAACTGATCTACCGAGAAATAACTGCCTGCCGTTAATATCCACGGTAAAATGACTCTCCACACTCGCCGGCTGTCGCTCCACAGACCGTACTTACATCTATGGTCTTTTCAATCGCTATTCGATTCGGCGATCAACGACAAAGCTGCGTAACAAAATAATAAGATTACCTTTGTTTCGCCATCTCTGAATTACAACTTGACAATACAGTGAGGAACGAAACTTTAACTCTAACAATTGCTATCTCAAGACGATTAACCTAAGAAGACATAGATGATCGAAAGAAGCGTTCAGACGCTGCTTTTTATGTAAGCGCCACAGACATTAATCTGCTACTTGCACCGTCCACAAGCTCAAAATAATTCAATGCTCATTTTTACAGTTGCATGTGGTTCGATGAAAAGAGAAATAGGGAGATGTTAGAAAAGTTTCATTTAATGACGAAGCAATTGAGCTATGTACAACTGAGATCAACATGGTTAAACACTTATCAAAAGCAGGGGTGATTATCAACACAAGCATTCAGGAATCCATCCCGTAGTACGATTGTGCACGAACAAATTCTCAACTATTCAAAGAAGAATCAATCAGGACTTGCACTTATTAATCAAGCAGCTGTACAACAAAAATAATGCAATAGAGATCACAGGGTCGTATAAGTGGGCAAACATCAGAAGCGTTGCGTGGCAAGGCCACAATCATGGGCAAAAATTGGCACTAATTCTGACCATCGACAGGGACGGAACAGCTGCCTACATCGTCATCACTGATGTTTATCTATCGTTATCGGTGAGACTTCAATACGAGTTGCTTATAATAATTTACCTCTGGACATCCTCCATCCACACACAATGAAATTAATGACGGTACTGCTACTATTCTACGCAAAAAACATAGCCACTGTTGAGCATCAATACATTGTTCCGCTTCATCTCGCGTGCGTATAATGGCTGTATATGATATAAGATATATCCTCATTGTTGAATGAACACTTCCGAAACGTCATATGAACATGACGAGAAGATTGATTGACTCGATCAACTATTTCGTTGTTGCCGCAAATTGTTAACATTAAGAACTATCATTTAAGACATCTCACGTATTCAGACAAGAACCCAGACTCACAGATGAGCGTATTTTTCTAAACAGATCGGAAGACAGGAAGTGGGAAGTTATCGCAAGGTTATCTTAGAACTACAAATAATTCAGTAGTCCAGGACACACAGGACACCAAACTAATTGCCTCAAAGATGCAAAGGTTAACAGTGTGTTAAACTTGCATCTAATCCTTGTGGTCATATCAGATGTCAATTAAACATCTTCATAGATAGTGATTTATGATCCAGAAGCCCAATGGTAAATGATTGACATGAATTATAACATGTTATTGTGTATGATGTTGCTAACACTGATCAAAATAAATACAAATAACAATCCAAAGGGTGTTGATCCATTGTTTGTGAATGTGATTGAACTTGTAACTGAGCAGGGATGCAATTCATGGTCAAGAATTAAGATGGCTTGATGGAAACTTGAAGACACCAATATCTAATTTTATTTGCCATCTTAATAACTTCACTTCAGTATTTATTCAATATCTATCATGCTGGTAAAACTACTCAATCAAAAAATATCTGCCAAGATCATAGAAGTTTCAATTGCAGGTCTTCTGATCCAATAATATACATAATAAAAGAATCTATTCATTCTTTACCTCTCACTAAATTCAACCTTTGTTGTAACTTGTACCATTCACTTCATAATTTGATGCCAGTCCAGTGAGTCCACAACTAGCCTAGGCTACACAGTACACAGTGACCGACTGTCCGACTGGCCGTTATGAATAGATTATAATTATAATGACTTAATTTGCAGCATGAAATTCCCTAGAGTGAAAAGGACAATTAATTTTTAAAAATAACAATGTACAATAAAAATCCCTGGTAGTCACTGCAAATTGGTGTCGCAAAGACACCACCATGGTGCCATTACTGCAATACCATACTAAATTATAAAAAAATCTTTCAGGATAGGTATTGAAAAAAAGAATAGGCCATTAATTGCAATTTGCATTGTCCAGGAATGACCTATGCCAACAAGTGAGCAACAACCATCTATCACAAATTCAAGTTACCACTTACCACAATTATATTTAAAAAAGTAACTTTAATTAAAAGATTCTAGCTTGGATAGGCTAATCCATGAACCATGATTGAAGCTCACTTCTTTTTTTTTTTGTCTCCATTGATGTTATTGTTGCTTGTTGTTGACTTGGTGGGTTGAAGTTAAATGATCTCAAGTTATAACTTAAGGCCTATAGGCTATAAATGATCTCAATCATCTCATACCTGTGATCTCAATGATCTCATACCTGTTTAATGATCTCGTATATATACCTGTAGGCTGTATCTGTATGCCACACAAGAAACAAACAATCTTAGAATCTGGCGAGTTTTCAAAATTCATTACCATTTACCACTATATGTAAGTTATACTGAGTAGTGACTAGTGAGTAGGCTAGGTATAAGGTTAATTTGCCACAAAAATTATATCATCAGCCTTCAGTAAAAACAATCTAGGTACCTAGTTAAACCACATAACATATCCACATGTTTAAAAACTCCAAGCTCAAAATATTTTTGATGTTATTATGTGTTAATCAAACCACACAATACAATACACTGAATACAGTTGAATACACATTGAGTAGTTTTGACTTCTGACAGTATTAGAGTAATTTTATTGAAATGGGGCAGGTGGCAACTTAGGTATATAAATTATCATTAGCTATTATGTCATTTAATTTACAGTACCTAGGCATTTACTTGGTAAGACAAGACAATGAATTTACTTAATTTAAAAATAACAACAGTAACATTTGAAATAATTAATTCATCTAAATATTAAATTGGCAGTTAGAAGTTCATACATGAATTCATTTCCAATTATGAATTATCTAGGCTAATTTACATCTATATTTTTTTGGCAAATTAGCTTTGTATGGACTGGACAGTACAATCAATGGAACCCCTTTCTATATGTCATATAGTAATGATATACGAGTTCCTAACTTCCTAGATCTGCAAGAGTTAAACAGACCAGCCAAGCTGAGGCAGCGGGAAACAACAATTTACCGTAACTGAACCAACAATTAACAAATGTATAATTGACTAATCAATTGTAATATATACTTCAAAATTGTACTAGTTTCAGCACAAATCTACTTACAAATGATATCTCAGATTCACGAACTCCTTCAGGCAAATAGAGATGGGGAATTTTCTGCCCATTAATTGTCCCTGCAGTCATTATGATACGGAGTTCACAAAATAACTTTCAATATGGCATAACACGCGAACTGTTGCCATCGAGTTTTGGTAAGCCATGTAGAAGAGGAAAGTTGTTTAGCAGTTGTTCCATTATATATTACTGGTGCAATGAATGTATTTATATCCAAAATGATGCAGATAATAAGAAAACTTTTCACATATTGACCCACGTTCCTCAATTGGAAGATACGTGTGCCACATCAACGAAAACTTCGACCAAAAATATACATTTTATGATTTTCAGTTGCAATGGACCTATTTCTTGAACGCCGACACTTCTATTCTATTCTAATAGCAAACTATGACTTAAAAGGTTAGAAAGAAAGTAAGAAAAGTTATCGCTTTACTCTTCCATTTAACAAGAAATGCAAGGAACAAAATCGCTATTAAAATTAAAAGTGCTACGAACGCTGGAAATATAATTGTTCTAAAAACTAGAACTACGTTAAGTGTGATGGTTTGAAACGAAATTCCTGCACTCGTGCACGTTTACCGGAGCGTTATGGCACTAATGGACGTGTGCAACCTTCAGGGTCTTCATATGAGAGAAGCAGAAGCTCTGACTGAGCCTGAGGCTCAGTCAGCTGTTGTACGTCAGTCAAGCACGTACTAACTGGCGATTGGTGTTGTGGTAAAGCTGTGGTGAGGAAGAGATGAATCGCAACATAAACGTAGTATACTCAAACAAACATGATTTACAACTCTATAATTTTGCTTCCGATTAGAAAATTTTACTTGTGGTAAAGCAATTTTACATGCAGTTAAATTTTTTTTTGTGTTAGTTAATTATATTTATTTTCGTTATGCTTAAGTTAAACTTAGAAATACCGTGACAAATTCAGTAATATTTCAATCAAAGAGTGCTCTAGGATTACGAATGGATGTTTTACTTGTTGAGTGCCTACTTTGTATAGCTTTACTAATTGAAATACTGCAAACTGTTTGTTGTTGTGTACTAATCGTTGTGCTATCTTCTAACAATGCAGCAGTGCCTATGAACATTGATTCTTTAACATATTTTTAATTCTGACATTTCATGCAAATTCTTTCGAAAACTGATGCAGCTTATAAATGTTTTTTGTTAGAAATACATCCAAAACTGTACTAATAGTAGTAAATATCAAATTACTTCGATCACGAAGCTTGCATGCGACCACTCGGATCTGTGGTGACCTTGAGTTTTAAAGTTGAACGAAACCTGAAGGAATCGCAGCAGTTGCTGTGCTCACTGCTCCTCGTGTGGCATCGACCTCTACAGTCTACACTAAGAGAATTTGTATGATATTAACTTTAATTGCACTCTCGTAATTATTCATTTGTGATTTTATAAATTTTTTTCTTATTATTATCCAAACATTGAGTTATTGCTTCCTTGCACTTTAACAATCAGTCTTCAAACAAAGGAAGTGTAATGTTAGAACTTTTGGACCGAGTTCTAGGTAACTTAATTTTTCTATGAAAAAGAATCAACTAGTGAGTGGTGTTAAATTGTATTACTTTTTTCTTAAGTGTCCTTTAAAATTGTCTGACTGGGAAGCGGAAGTGGGTTGGGGGTTTGGGTTTTTCTTGTTGCATAAAAAGTCAATATTGTACTTTACATGTCCTTATTGGTGTTTTAAAAAAAAATTCTCGTGTACTACCGAACAAACTACTATACAAAAAGTAATAATAGAACTACATTAATTGCAATAATAGTAAATTGGTAGCAAATAAACAATTCGTTAGACTAGTGCGATACTTTTTCCCGCATCAATTAAAACTTGTTAATGAGTTCTGTTTAACCTCGAGGACTCAAATTCGACCAGGGATTTCTTTGTTCTCATTAAATGAAAAATTTCATACCATCTATCAAATTCCTAAGAATGAAATTTCTTTCATTGGAAAACAACTCGCATGTGGTGCTGGTTGGATCAGGATATATCTGGTTTCTAACGCAATCAAAAGGGGATGGTTACATAGATGGTACACGGTACATCTAATTCATATCTAATCAATGATAAGATTAGCTTGTATTCTTTCCTTGAAAGGATCTGTTACCATGGGTGAGATGATACTGGAGCTCCCTGCGGCTTCCCTGCTCTTTGGCTTGTGAATAATTTAGTCTGAATGTAGAGCTGTTCCACGCTGCAACTCCTGCAGATAATCATTAGTTGCCGACTGAGACTGTTATGGATTTGTATTCGCGTTCCAAATAAGTGAATGATTTCTCTTCTTTATCGGAAAGACATAGCTATCGTTTTACAATTTATGATTATTGAAGATTTTTGTTGTTGTCTATTGGAGTGAAATTATATATAATTAATTTAATGGAACTGTTATAATTCTTGATATTTTCTTCTAGCTAGTAAACAAATTAGTCTTTAAACAGCAGTTATGTGGATATGCTACTTCTAGATTTTTTATGGTTATTTTGAAATATTGGAGAACTTCAAATTAGAACGATGAGTTTCCTATGCCTCTCAAACAGGCAGCTAACGTGCTCAGTGAAGGGCACTCTGAGATTATCAGCACACAGTTCATCACTGCAACCATTGATTAATTCCCCGGGAGGACCATTCCCTTGTTTCCAGTCAAAAAACTTCTACACCAACGCGACAGCTAGTGGTTCTTACGAGTTATTGTCAACAAAAAGAGGCCCTCTGTTGTCATTTAGAAGAGGAACTAAGAAAGCCACGAATTTGGACGCATCTGGCAAGCCTTTATTTGATGAAACGCCAGCGCCGGCTTCAGCAGACGTTGTAGTGATCGGCGGCGGCTCTCTGGGATGCAGCGCGCTGTACCATCTCGCAAAACTTGGCGTCACAAACTCTGTACTTGTTGAGGCTAATAAACTTACCGCTGGTGAGACCTCGTTCCTAAGACTTTGTTTTCTGATCATGCATTAGGATATTTATCTAAAAGAATGAAATGTATATCTATACGGTTACGTTGTCGATGTGTCGTAAACTGTCCACTGTATGTTATCCATTTTTAACGACCAACGTGTCAAGTGCATGGAATTGCTGTATAATTTTTCATCATCATTCAAAGAACCGTATTCTCTCATCAATTTTGATAAGTCATTAACAAGTTTGTTCAGGAACGACATGGCACACCGCGGGCCTCATCTGGGATCTCCGACCAACGGACACAGAGACCGAAATTCTGAATCGTACTTTAAGTGTTATCAAAGGCTTAGAGGAGGAAACAGGCGTAAACCCTGGATGGATCAACAATGGAGGCCTCTTTGTTGCGACTAATAAGGTACGACATCAAGTCCTTCACAGTATTAAATTGTGATATTATTAAGGCAGTGGCCTTTCTCGAGGCGTTTGTTTTCACCGCCCCTGTTTGTTGTTGATTTGTATTCTACGACACACCTGAGACTGGGTATACGACTGCTGTGAATAATAATACGTATAAACTATATTTTCTGAGCATAATGTTTATTATAAATGTATCAAAGGCAGTACACTGAGAATGGGTATGCGGCCAACTTCTTTGCCCATGATTAATACGTATAGGCTTATTTGTAGTCACTGTTCGATTTCGTTATAATGAAGCGCCCGCAGTCCTTTTATAAGCATAACTCCTCCGCCCCCACTGAGGGCTCGTGCCCTCACGGGAAATAAACTGTCAACTTTGCTCCTGGGACCTCAGAGTGAATGCACTGGGAATGCTAACTCGTTGTTTATAACATTGGATAAATGTAGCCTCAGCGTCTATGCTTATCCATCTTTGGCACTTATAAAATTAAAAAGCGTGATTTTTTTTTACAAAAAACTAGATCCAAGCCCAGTTTCAGAATAGAACATCATAACGGCAACTGTACATTCTCATTGATATTGCAAAGGCTGCAAAAATATGCTACGAGCCAGGTGAAATTGGAGCTCTTGCTGCAGGTCGTAAGGGAAAATTATAGTTTATGTCATTTATGTATGCTGACTGCAAGTGCCAGTGCACAATTTACTAAATAACATTTATTTTTCAGCAACGATTTGACGACTTGAAACGCACTGCGACACTCGGCCGGGCTTTAGGGATTGAGTGTTTTCTTCTTGACCAAAAGGAAACTAAGAAGCTTTACCCTTTAATGAACGTTGATGACATATACGGCACATTATTTTCTCCTGGTTGCGGTATGTACTAGTAATATGATAAAAATTTTAGATTGACTGTTAATTTATCTTCAAACAAACAATTTTTTATTGAAGGAGACCTGAAAGGAAATGTTCTACTGATTGAAACGTAAAAATATTTAATCAATTGAATCACAAATAGCTTAGAAAACTCATATTTATCTCAAACCTAAAATATACGTCGAAACTAAAGTTAGTGCTTGGTAATCAAAAAGTTAGTATTCAAAATATGTTCTATTTGTAGGCACCGTGGATCCTGCTGGCCTATGCGACGCTTTGACCAGAGTGCCGAAAAAATTAGGAGCGAAAGTCTTGGAGAACTGTCACTTCATGGACATCAAAACCACAACCGCATTGATGGGCGGTAAAAAAGTTACCGAAGTGAAAACGTCGAGAGGAGTAATTAAGACCAACTGTATAATCAATGCAACGGGTGTGTGGGCAAACAGTGTTGCCTCGAAAGTAGACCTGAAGCTGCCTTTAGTGCCCATGAAGCACGCCTACGTCGTTACGGAAAAAATTCCTGGTATTCAGAACATGCCTAATGTTCGTGACTACGACTCGTCTACTTATCTGAGGTTGCAAGGTGATGCTCTCTCCATAGGGGGATACGAGGCCAACCCTAAAATTATTGAAAAGGTAATGTCTATGCCGTTCTTCGATCCTTATGAAGTTCTGCGAAATTCATCGTTATGGCAGAGATTGTGCTGTCATTGACCAATGCTACATGATTGTTTAAGAATAGTTCAAGACCATTGTGCATACAATCGATCAAACATTATTTGAAAATGAATCATCGGTTCAGTAAAATTTGCCACATTAATCTGATATAAATAATAAAATAAATAAATAATAAATAAAATAATAAAATAAATTTTATAAATATTTATAAAATTGATATAAATAATAAATGATACAATGTTCCCATCATTTGTTGAAATTTCTCCAACCGTTCTCTCCATTTGTATATTTGCATTTTGTTTCATGTCAATTTTTTTCTTTATACAGATTGACATTAACTTTGCGTTCGGTTTGTATGACTTGGATTATGAGGTGTTCAATCCTTTGATGCAAGGCCACATCAAGAGGATCCCAGTTCTGGAAAATACGGGTGTAAAATCCACTGTTTGTGGACCAGAATCATTTACTCCGGACCACAAACCTATAATGGGTGAGTTAATTCCACAGATAATTTTTTACCAGATTAAAGTCTTTTAAATACCTTCCAGATCACCTTTTAAGTGCATCAAGGCAGAATTTGACACCGCTAACAAATGTTGACCATAAAAGTATACATAATATAAAGGTTGATGTAACAAGGCTGATCTTTCATAAAATATCAACGTGTGCAGGAGAAGACCCGATGGTCGAAGGGTTCTTCCACTGCTGCGGTTTCAACAGCGCCGGGATGATGCTCGGCAGCGGGTGTGGCGAGCAGATCGCAAAGTGGGTAGTGAATGGACGACCGGAATTCGACATGTTTCCTTATGACGTCAGAAGGTACCATGCGCCGCTATGTGGAGACAAAAGATGGGTCAGAGAGCGCTCCCATGAAGCTTATGCCAAGAACTACAGCATCGTCTTCCCTCACGACGAACCTCTCGCTGGAAGAGGAAAGCGCAAGTCACCTCTTCATGCTGTGAGTCGATCGATCATTGTTGCACGATACATTAAAATTAGTTATGGTCCGTAATTATCGTTCACACATATGACCACTTGGTGTACCAGGATTTCACAAATTATTTGCTTGATTTTCCAGGTTTTGGAAGAGGCCGGATGTGTTTTCCAAGAGCGACACGGCTGGGAGAGGCCTGGCTGGTTCAACGTAGAACCAACTCCTGTGCAGAAGTATGATTGGTATGGTTCATACGGTACACCCGTTAACAAAGACCAAAGATACGTCAAAGCTCTGGAGCAAGAGTACTCCTTCGATTTCCCTGTTCATCACGACCTAGTGAGTAATCTCATATATACTGCAAAACTTGTTAAGTTGTTCGATATAGTACAAGTGACCGTCAGTGTTAAGATCAATTGATTGCTGAAATCGCAAATCAACCTAGAATTCTAAATCAACATTTTGAACTGATGGTGTAGCTGGTCTCCAATACATTTTCATGGAAAATAAGGTAATTGTTTTGCAATTTCCTTTGCTTTGAATTCTGAATAGTTGAAGCTCTCTTTCACTAATAGCCGTCATTAAAATTTGACAACTTTCAAAATGAAATTTGAACGATGTACTCCCAAAATGTTTGTCCTTGTCTACTCATTTAATAAATGATTTCAATAGCACACACAACATTTTTATCTGTGACCAGATCAATGCAGAATGTCTCGCGTGTCGAACGGGAGTTGTTGGGTTTGACATGTCGTATTTCGGCAAATTCTATCTCACCGGGCCTGACGCTACCAAAGCAGCGGACCACCTCTTCTCAGCCGACGTGAGGCGGCCGGAAGGCTCCACCGTCTATACTTGTATGCTTAACAAGAACGGCGGCATCGAGGCTGATCTTACAGTCGTGAGTAACACAATATCTAGAACATATTAGGGGGTTTGAAGTCTCCCTTGGGTATTTTGTAGGCTGGGAACAAGTTTTTTTGTAGTTTAATAAAAAGTTTTTTTAAAAAAACTGTTGAGTTACTCGGGGCTGGAAGGCTAGTAATAACTGCTTTGAACGCCACGAGTGCTTTAAAATATACAAGAAGAATGCTGTCGTGAGCCCTTCATGTATCTTTCCAAGCTTGTGGCTAGTGCGAGATCAGAGAAGTCCATTCGTACATTTCAGAGCGTCGCTCAAGGCGGGAAAGGCTCGCCTTGTGATCCCAGTTACAACGGCGTTGGCTATTACCTTGCAGTCGGCGGTGCGGCTGCAACTCAAAACTACGCCCACATAGTCAAGGAAATTCGTAACAACAACTGGAAAGTTTCCCTTATCAACCACACTGAAGATATGACAGTCTTTTCTATTCAGGGACCCAAAAGTAGAAGTTTGCTCAGCAGCCTGACGTCTGCTGACCTCAGCAACGAATATTTTCCCTTCAGCTCCCACCGAATCATTGAAGTAGCTGGTCATAAAGTGCGTGCTCTACGCGTATCATTCGTCGGGGAATTAGGTGAGTTTATAGTTTGGCTTTGATCTGCTTCTATGATAATTACAGCTGATAATCGTATTTTGTTCTGTTTGTCACTTTAGTTGGCAGCATAAAAAAATTCGCTCTTACAGTTGCTTCCTAATTTCTAATAGGTTGGGAACTTCATGTCCCGAAAACCTCCGCCGTACCGGTGTACATGGCTGTCAAAAAAGCTGGAGAGGCTTTTGGCTTCAGAAATGCAGGCTACAGGGCCATGGATTCGCTGTCGTGTGAGAAAGGCTACAGGCTTTGGCACAGCGACATCCGTCCCGACGACACACCTTTGGAAGCTGGACTCACCTTCACTTGCAAGCTGAAAACTGACATTCCCTTCCTTGGTCGAAGAGCTCTGGAGCAGCAGAAAATACAGGGAATTACGAAGAAATTAGTTACGTTTATCTTGGATGACCCTAAAATCCCCCTGTGGGGTCAAGAAGCTATAAAAAGGGACGGACGTTACGTAGGAACCGTACGGCGAGCCGAGTTCGGTGTAGCTCTCGGGACGTCCATAGCTTGCGGGTACGTCAGCAAGCTGGACGGCAGCGTGGTAGACAAAGATTTTCTGACCACTGGAAAATGGACCATTGAAGTGATGTGCCAAGATACTCCAGCAAAGTTGCATTTGAAAAATCCGTTTGATCCACAAAATGAAAGGTTAAAAGGACATTACAATACAGTTTCTTGAGATGCATCACAATAGAGATATGAATTCTGCACCGTTCCCAATTTATCATCAGGTAGTTAGTTCATATTCTCGCTGATTGTTTGGTTCAATGTTTGGGCAAGATTCTTATGCGGGTCTCCATGCATATCGAATAAAATTCCCTGAAATGCGAAAATATAAAAAATGTTGAATGCATCGGTCATATTTAGAAGCTTGCGTGCTTCATGTCGTAATTCCACTTTGCCAATTTCCTTTTCTCGAAGTGACGGATAAAATAATTCAAGAAAAATAGCCTCTCAATGGCCTCACATGAGGTAGTGCTAAGACTGCATTTTTATGGAAAAACTTGCATTTCTTCCAGCGTGTTAGTATTAATTATTGTACTGTTATTGTTTCAATGCCTAATCTGGGTTTCTCCATGACAATACAAGTGTTAAGTCTGCAGTGCTTGCTTCACAATACATTCCCAGCATCGTGAAAGCGACCAGATCGTATTTACTTTTATTCGTCCATATGTTATGCTCTTGATTATAAAAGTTGACGAATTTTCGAAGTCGATATCATGAATACAGCACATCGTGTAGCCCTAGAAATCAACACGACTTTATTATTGCCTGCATTGCTGCAAATTTTTTAACATCAAGGCATTTAAAATCGCCTTGGAAACTTCTGATACCGAGCATGATCAAGGCACTTGAAATTGTCAGAACCTAAGAAAGGCGTTTTCATTGAAAGGCAAGAAGCAAATCATTCCTTTATTAACAAAATCACGGTAAATTTACATGAACGAGACACCACGCAGTGGCTGAAAGACTGACGTTGTCGTGCACTGACACCGCGCACGCTTTGTGTGCAGCCCGGTCCNACAGATGAGCGTATTTTTCTAAACAGATCGGAAGACAGGAAGTGGGAAGTTATCGCAAGGTTATCTTAGAACTACAAATAATTCAGTAGTCCAGGACACCTGACGCTATTACTGCGTTAGACGGTCGAACACTTATCCCTGTGGCATATTTGGATCACATTCAAAAGTTGCTCAAGAGAAAAGTTGTGGTAATGAATACGGTAATTTATGAAAAAATGGGCAACCAAAAATTAAGATTCGACTGTTTTAACTAAGTAAATCATCAATCAGAACAATTTTAGCCAGAAAAACATTCATACTTAGTCAGATGGCCTTTGCGACAATCGCGGTTCGGTAAATCTGAAAATACCATCACTGAACTAAAATCTGACTTTAGTCGAACATTCTTGTATGCTCAATGAAGATTGCATTATTGGTTTTCAATAGATACACATTAAAATTAAAATTAGGGTATGGTTACGAAACAATTAGTTCGTCCAAAATACATTGGACACGAAAATTCATGACATTTTCTCCGAATGGTTGAGCTTAGGAAGAGCAAATTTTAATACAAAATTTGAGCGCATAAGAAGAAAGTTTCAAGCACAACACAACACAGAACAGAAGCAAGACCAACAAATGCCATTAACACCAACACTGTACATACTAACATAACAACTTCATTAACATAAGGATAATATTCAGAGGACAGGTAAGAGGTAAGAGGTAACAGCAAGGAAGATAAACGAAGAATTACAAAGTCCTTCACAAGAATTAGTGAGAAATCACGAAAAGACAGAGAAATGTACAACATACACATAAATTTCATACATGATAATTAGCTAATAATAAAGGAAGGGAGCAGTGAAAAATGTGGTAAATAAACCTAACTTAGGAAAAAGGAATATTGACTTCATTGCTAATGGCAGTCTCCTGTTAATTAAGACACAAACCCATAAATACTGACAATAAATACAAGGAAGAGCTCAAAGAAATAGATGGCAGTGAAGTATTGACATACTTTAGACGATGCTTCTCATTAAGCACACATTATCAAGTATAGTTCACGGCTGCAGCTCTAAGCGCTGCTAGCATATTGCGTGATGCCATGCAGTTGACACGGCCAAATCAACAAACTCTTACGGGAAGCTAGAAATCTTTTCAATGTTTTGTCTCGGTTGGTAAAGCGTTGTCCACACTATAAATCATAGAGAAAACCCTCGGACTAAATTAATGAGCAGTTGAGTTCTTTTATGCGCCGCTAACAATCTCATGATGCTGTAATAAATAAATCCTGCTGGATTGTGAAATTGAATAACGGAATTACCAATTAAAGAATTCACACATCATTGGCGTTCAGGTGCAAATCATTTTCCACGAGTGTCGATCGGTAGTGCAACCATGAAAAATTCAATCACCATTCTCAATAGTTAGGCACCATTGAAACAATTTAGGGTTCTCTAGCGTGCATAAATATTATGCCAACCGTAAAGCTGCTTCAAGATGAGAAAGTTTAGCTCAAGATATTTGAATCTAGGAAATAGTTTCAATTGAAGCAGGCCACCTTGAAAAGCTGATACTCGTGGGGAAGTAATTGTAACACGAGATGGTAGGGTACAATAAATCTTGTTTGAATAGCGACCAATCAATTCAATATTTTACGATCTACTATACCCTGTCGGTATTAAGTTGATACGAAACAGAAATACCAGTAAACTACAGGTAAATCTCACACTAATTGGCACACTAACTATCTAAACCTAATTCAACATATGAACTGACCAATTCCTATCATCATCACACTAGAGAGAATTCAAGATCTTAAGTTATACATTATTGAGATGTTTTATTGTGAAGGAGTACGATTGAAGTTAGGTATATTGCTTATAAGAACAAATATCGTCAAGTTCGAGAGAGAGAATCACGTTTCTTTCACTCAGGTTCAACGTAAATTCTGTCCATTGAGCAACAATTTTTTATCACACTTCCAGAGCAACCTCTCATCAAAAAGAAAAGCAATATTCCGTAATTCAAATAGAAGCAATTTCCGTGATGAGAACAAAATGTGAGAAAGCTTGATTCGCGTCATAAAACTCAATAACATTGATTTTATTTTGACATTGCAAACTCATCAGTAGCTCTTTGGCCTCGGTATCTCCGGGGAATTGACTTCAGAGCGATGTGATAACTCAAGCGTTCGAGAGTGTCATAAGCAAACAAACTCACTCTCCGCGCTCAGCAAACAATGTTAGCCACATTTTATTTAATATTCAAATCATTACTCTGACGTTGACAAATAAATATAATTTATTGAACCGCTCCATTGTTTAATCAACACACTATATCAACATTAATAAGAAATGTTGTAAAACTTCAATAAACATCTCGCATATTGAATAATTTCATGTCTAGTGGTTTTTCTACACGTTAATAAACTAATCCAATGAATAAACACAAACTAAGTGATGATGCGTAGTTTAAATCCGTTAGATAACTTCATGAATTCGATTTAGACGAGCAAATAATGGAATAATATTGCATGAACTACACTTCTTCGCCATCGAGCTCAGCGTATTGTCTGAGGCAGCTGAGGGCGTACACGAGTCGCTCTCTGATGGCCGCGTCACAGCCGGCGCTGGCGATGTCAGCGAGGCGGTACGCGCAGCTCTGGCGATCAGCGTTGATGTAGAGCAGACACGCGTCTTCGTCGCAGCGTTCGCCGCTGACAACGATCTTCGTGTGGTCTTTGAAGAAGTTTATCTGCAATAAATGTATCCTTGTGTTACCGAATTTTTTTCATGCGATAAGATTTTATATCCGTCATTATTTTAAAAAATTTCAAACTAATAGCCAATTTTTCAACATGACTCATTCGAAATAATTTCACGAATCTCTGGACTAAATGGGCAACAAATATAAACAGTAATGTAATTAGGAAATTGTATTGAGACCCGTGATAGAATGAAAAGTACAGGAAATGCTGATAATACTGCAAAAATCTTACCTGAAACGTGCCGTTGCTGAGCTGCATGATGATACTCTTAGGCGTTCTGTCCCAGCGCCTGATGTGAGGAATGACTTGAGAGGACGCGTTCTTGCACGCACCACCAGTAGTACCACTACCACCGCTGCCGGTGCTGCTAGTGCTACTGGTGCTGCTGTTAGCACTGCTATTGCTACTACTGCTCCGGTTAGGGGTGTGAGGTGGTGGAGTTTTATCCCCAGCACCTGTAAGGTTCTCATCCATGTAGGTGGCGAAGTAACGCAACAGTTGGTAGCGTTCCTGTAGCCAGGCAGGACATGCTGACGCTGCCACTGCCGTCAAGCGACCGCTGCAGTCGTGATATTCTACGCGGCTGCAGGACAAATCAAATTAGCATTACAATGAAGAAATCTTCGGACACATTTTAATTAATTATACAATAGTGAATAATGATGCAGGAGAAATTAATGTTCGACGTTATTTACCACTTATCGCCGCTGATGTTTATTCTCGTGAGGTCATTGAAGAAAACACCGACGGAATTGTCAGAGAGCTGGTATCCGAAGCCGTATTTATTGCTGTAGTCGATCCATTTAGAGATGAAAAGCGGCGTGTGTGATTGGTGGATCAAGTTACCAGTCACGCCTGGAGAATGAAAGTCAAAAATTAATCCCTCACATTAAAGAATATCATGGCCGAAAACCAAACAGACGGTTAACAATTGATCAAATAACACATCCTGATACTAAATTAATTGAAATAATCTGTAATGAATCCGAAATTCTTCTTAGGAACCTTTGCACTGCGGCGAGTAAAACTTATCAAATTTTCAGTATTCCTTTAAAAAAAAAATCAGCCCGAATGTTTCATTTTTAGCAATATGTTCCGCTGATAAAATAAAGGCTCCTGTACAGACATAAACATAAATCGTTTAACCTTGGCAACTGCACAGAAATAAGCATAAATAGAATAGTTTACTCTTGGCAACTTCTCACCGTCCGGCATACTGTCGAGGCAAGAGGCGAGCAGGTTGTAGAGAGTCCCTGAGGTCACTTCCCTCTTCCTGCCCGTCACCAAGGAGCCCAAGCAGTTCGTGTTCTTCCCGTCAGTAGCATAGATGACAGAGGTGAGCTTTTCGAATAGACGGTTCCCGTTGTTACCTCCATTTGAATCTTTTCTTCTAACATCTTTAGATAAATGGGATATGGTTGTTGGAGAGGCCATCTGATGAGACGGTCTCTGGTTGACTTGGTTAGGCAGGGTGGAGATGTATCGCTGCTGTGGGTGCAGGGAAGGAGGGGAGGGAGGAGAACTGATACCTTCATTGAGAATTTCGTTGCGGTGGTTCATTTCAGGTATCTGGTGTCCTAAATTGTCCGTTAATATTGATATCTGTGAAGAAAAAAGTTGAATTAGTGACGCAGTTCGAGTGCAATAAGCTCAGTTCTAGGCACACCCTTTGAGTTTCTGAAGAATGGAAATTTTCATGGTACATTAACAACCATGCCCACTACGGAATAATTGCCGCCGAGGCACCTAATACTTTATTGGTATGGATAGCAACTAACTGATTCTAAAACAACATCAGAAATGAGAAGTACAAAACCTTCCGATAGAGCTCGAGTCGGGAACGACGAGGAGTACATTGACGCATTCATAGATAGTTGTTATAAGAGCATATTCTAATACAGTAAAAATAGCCTACCTTATCCTGAGGGGGCTTAACGTTGGGTAATCTAAGAGTGGATACTGAGGTGGTAATTTTCTTGATGTCTTGAGAAATAACTTGAGAGTGCAGCTGCTGCTGTTGGTGGTGGAGGTCAGTAGGTTCCGACACTCGCGGCACTAACGAGTCCACAGTGAACTGTGGAACCTGCGTGCACGCCAGCGTCGGGAGGCTACGAGGGAAAAGACCTGCAACGGGCAGAACAAATTTATATTTTAAAAATGTTTTTGTAACTTCAAAAGCATCGTTTACCATTTTAGTTACTTGCGAACTATAGAGGTGTAGATTATCCCACTGCTAATTCGACTTTGTTTACTAGTGTCATTTTGAATGGATAACATTTAAGTTCCCATGCTCACCTTTCGTGAAAAAATCGTGTCTAAGGAGTTCGGGTACTGAAGGTCTGCTCTTGGGATCAGGATGAAGTAGTGCAGTGATGAGGGAGCGCCCGTGAGAACTCACTAAGGGCGGGATGACGTACTGGTTGTTGGTGATGCGCGAGTATGTTTCCTTTAAAGTGTCCGTCTCGAACGGTGGCTGCCCCACCAACAACGCGTACCTGATGTAAGTTTAATTTTAAATTTCCTCAATAGCCGATAACCATTAGTACCTCAATACCTCAATAGCCGATAACATAGTAAACAGCTTTCTAAATACCCTTTCCCGACAGTAAAGAAAATAAAAAAAATTGAAATAACTAATAATCTTGAAAATGTACGTACAAGAACTTCAACGGGCGATGCCGATAGAAGCATGTGTTAACGACGATTTTATTATCGCCCCGAAGATCAACACAGCCATCATAAAATTATATTATGGGGTCAGCAAAAGGGCTAAACCTTAATATTTACAATATTATGAACCTTTTAGAGCGATAACAGAAGCAAACAAGAACTCGCATGAGTCTGGTGTTTGCAGTAAAACCTTTGACGACACTTGTCAAAGCAGAGAACAAATGTCCTAGGATATAAGATTTAAAAAAATTCAGCCACACAGAGACTGGCGTTATTAGTACGAGTATACCAAGACAATAAAATATAACTTACATGATGCAACCTATAGCCCAAATATCGGCCTGGTAAAAGTGACCGCATTTGTTTAGCACTTCAGGTGCGATGTAGTTAGGAGTTCCGCATATTGTCCTGTAAACAAAAAGATAAAGCCGATAAATATCATGATATACAAAAGATATAGAGCACAAGCTTAGGCGACTCTATAAAATAAAATTGCATTAAGTTGCGCAATCATGTTTAGCGGCGCAAGGACAATTCGATAAGATTAGGCGATGACCAACAGGCGAGGAAACAGACCAGTGTCAATGCCACACAAATAAAACCAAAGTGCGAAGTAAGTAATCGATAAGAATCGAGTCATCCGTTTATTCTTTAATGCATAAATCAAGTGTTAATCTTTTTTTCATTTCCTTGCGCTTGAAATAGCGGGAGGCCGCGTACGTTAGGGAGGCAGACTGCAGACTAATGGGGGATGGATATATCACATATATGTACACACATAACCAGCTTACCACCGTCTCAGTAGCTATAGCACATAGAAAAAAACGACGGTTCCATAGCATTCCTCAGAGCAGTAAAACTTAATAAAGAAGGCGATAAATGCTAGTTGCACGCAATACTGGATAAATTAAGTAAGAACTAAGCACGCTCGAAATGTGCGTGTGAAAGAGACGAGGGGAGGAAGGGAAGGTGAGGTGAGAATGAGACACCCAGAGGCGGGGTCATCTTCCTTTGTGTAGGGCGTAGCGAGTGTGAAGTGCCAGCGACTTGGAAAGGCAGAGCAAGCAAGAAGTTTGAGCGGTACCTCGCAATGCAACCCACACATCGAGGTGACGGCCGCAGCGTTCCTTATCGAGGCACGCCACAACGGCGAGCAGCTTCGGCAGTGCGCATGCTATCTATAGTTTGCTAGCGCAACAGGTCCTTCCAGCACACAAATATTTCGCCGAGTAATTCACTCGTGTCGTTTAAATCTAGTGTAATTAGTTTTAAAGATGCCAGCTCTGAAATATTTGATTGAAGAACTTGATCGAATCTCGAACAGAAACTTGCAATCGCGCACCCATAATAGCGCACATAACAAGGCAAGCATAAAACAAGTCTAACACGAGCATGCTTCAGACGGGTTTCAATGCCCGATGAACAGGTGCCGGGAGGAGACCAAACATGAGCTAATGGCCACACAAAAAATATGTCGACAGGAACAGGTTGTAGTATAGCAGACAAATAACAGCAGACCGAGAGTGGAAACCGCGGCGCCGCTCGACCAAACCCGGAGTGTCTCCGGACTTTCGCGATCACCTTTTGCGTGCGCAGCATGGTGCATTGTTTATAAAACCAAATTAAGAATGTTGCTCACGCTTCTTGGAAGGAAACGATGATAAATTGCATTATTTCATGGAAAGATGGTGGCCGTTTGGGGCATTTTGCTAGTGTTTGTTACGTTCTAGTTTGATCAGATAAGTTCATTATCTCAACGCAGCAAGTCCTTGACAGGTCTCCTGCTATCTTGAATTTGTCGAGGGCACATCAAAACCCTCGCTAACACTCCGAGCCGATCAGCTGCCAGTCGACGGAACTCAACATATTATGAGGCTTAGTTATGGATGCGGAGATCGTTTGACGACTTGCAGGCGTAACATTAACTAAGGAATGCACGTCAACAACTTATGTAGTTATGAATGCAACGCAAGCCATTTTATTGCAAGCTGCAATAGCCGTGGATAATGACAAATCAGCTAGTAAATTTTCATAGTAGCAATTGCGTGTCTGTATTGAAAAATGAGTTTTTTTTCGGACCCCGCAACCACAAGGCTGGGCGCACACAGCAGAAGCCACGGCGGTGAGGCTCGGTGAAGAGGGGGAGAGTCAAGGGAGAGGGGTGCATGCAAGGGGGTAACATGCGGGAGGGGGAGTGGGGAGGGGATGGCGTCGATCAGCTGGTCACTGATCCTGACGACCTCAGCGGCACAGCCCACGCAGCTCCCACCACCCTTCCCTCTTCTCCTTTCCCGCGTTCTTTTCTGCATGGAAGGCGAGACCTTCTTCCAAGAGCGCAACTTTTCATCTTTGTAGTTGAACACCAAAAGTTTAACCATTGCCCAAACTTGCACGAGGTATACTGCGGACTGGTTTTGGGAGAGATGATCTCAACCATTCACTATGATAAACATGGAGCAGTGCTTCAAGAAGCAGAAAACACCAAGTTCGACGTAATCCAGTACTTAATAGACGCAAGCAAAAATTACAGTCGCTTCTTGTACATGTAATCAAACTCCATAATGCAACTATTAAAAGAAACTAACAAGACATCCCGTCAGAGAACGGAGTTCTCGTTTAATTCTTTTCCCTGCAACCAACTGGTAAAATTAAAAATGTAAGAAATGTTAACACCTACGTAGGCGCGTCTATAGACGACGTAAATCAGAAAATAGGAATAAAATTTGCTTCAAAAAGTATCTTGTAATAAGCATCAGTCAATTAACAATCTCGACACACCTCGGCGAGTCACATTCACGAAGTGGCCAAGCCAAGCCATTTGCAGCCTCAAAACATATTCAACTCAATAATTTCAACAGGGCACATAAACTATTGCAACTTTAACATAGCAGGCAAATATGAACATTTTATATAATGAAATAACAATGAAAAGTGAAAGTCTTGCGGTAGCAGAAGTTCAAATGATTTCAGAGGAACATAATCTTCAGGGCGAAACAGCCGGACGTTTGTTTAAATTAAACTTTAAATACGAAATTATAGCAGCGACAAACGTTTGAATACAAGGAGTGAAGGCGGAGGCATACAGTGGCGCGCAAGATGCCAGCGCGGAGGAAACTTTGAGGCGCTGTAGTCAGGCAGGGAGGAGCGGTGGGTGAGAGTGACGCGGCACGACTTCATTGTTCAGGGCGGGGTGACTGCGACCCAGCATGCAGTCCGCGCTGCTAAACATGTACGAGTTTGCTGCCGTGCATGTGTGTGAGCGTGGCATACATGTGTGCGGTATGTTTACTGCAGTACAAGGGAAAAATTCTTGTCTTGTCTAACTTTTTATTGGCATAATGCAATGATCCAACGCTGCTACCACCTCACGTCCAGCCATCAAGGAAAGCATAGCAGGCTTTCCCGAGTGCATCCGAGCATGTGCCGGTCATGGGTAGTGTCTCGCCAAGCAAAACATGTACGAGTTTGCCGCTGTGCATGTGCGTGAGCGTGGCATACATGTGTGCGGTATGTTCACTGCAGTACAAGAGAAAAATTCTTGTCTAACTTTTTATTGGAATAATGGAATAATCCAACGCTGCTAAACATGTACGAGCTTGCCGCGGTGCATGTGCGTGAGCGTGGCATACATGTGTGCGGTATGTTTACTGCAGTACAAGGGAAAAATTCTTGTCTTGTCAAACTTTTTATTGGAATAATGCAATAATCAAGTTAAAAGTTTGCAGCAATTAGTAGCGATTGGAGTACAGATTTCAGGAATGATTTCTTGAATGAATTTTGTATTGCAATATTCCTTATAAGAACAAATATAGTCCCATCCAAATACTAAATGCAAGCACGGTAAATATTATACAGGCGATAAAATATGTTCCTGAGCATAAACCAGGAAGTTAAAAGAAGAAGTTCACAACGAATTTAAAGTAAATCTACGCCTTGCGTCGTCTCTAGTGGCAGCTTCCCAAGGAACTGAATGGCTTGCAACCTCGCGCAATTTCCTCACTATCAACACGAAGCTTTTATTCTGGTAGCCTTCTATCGTTCACCATCTCTTCTCGTCCTTTAGGAGCAGTGACGATTCACAAAAAGTCCTGTGAGGCGTTAAGGAATGTTTCTCTGGGGATAAAATAAAAAATCATTGCGCAGCGATGGAAGCAATTACAGTGTCACTGAAGAGATCTTGGAGACGCGCAAAAAAGGTCGAGTTCACAGGAAAGTCTTGCCTCTGTCGTCTTTACAGCCGCGCTCACGAACGTGAACATTCATTTCATTACCGCCCACAAAGAAGTAATTACACACTCAACAGCTTCAATAGATCACTTACAGGAAAATAGCATGGAGTCCAACTCAGGCAGGCATCGCAATCACATAGGAATTTTTATCGACAAATACCAAGAAAACTCGCGCATGAGGTCTTATTCGGCATTGTAAATGGATTTAATGAAGTGCCTCATTCCACGAAACTCGAAGAACAAAATGTCATCTAAAGTCCACGCTATAAAAACCTCAGGGACGGCATGTATGAAGAAACGATTTGAAATAATCGACAGCCGGGATAACATTCCTTATAAAGTACGAGTTACAGTAACCGCTCCAATTAATGTACATTAAAAATGCAACGACAGTGGGATCTCACAACTATTTAGCCTAAAAATAGCTTAAGCGGTCACTTATATATACACAGTATGCTTTCAGCGCGCTCTAGTCTGCTCATTTTTTAATCGCATGTGTATGGTAAAATTTCGCAGGTAGTATTGCAAGTGATAAGCAAACGTCATGCAATAGCAAATCAAGAAAAGCATCGAGCGCCGACACGGGACGGCTCAATATGGGAGGCTCAGGAAGCGGACGACCCCCACAAATTGACGCTAATATCAATTGGCTGCCTGAGCGTCCGACAGCCCGATGCGAGAACTGTACAGAGGGCGGGCACATATTGTGCTACTATAGTGAATTGCTTAGGGGTAGCGGCAAGGACTGAAATCAACATATGTAGGGTAGAAATGGTAGAACTTGCTTTTTATTGTCATTAAACATGACTTTTTGGTCTAAGTGTTAGCCAAATTAAAAATTAGATAAAGCTTCATACCGGAAATCATGCGATCTCGTGGAAACGCATACTAGAATATTTAATTACTTCAACGGTGCCACAGTTTTCACTTCTAATCTGTCGAACTCTGAGTCAACGCGCAAAAAAATCTCTTAAAGGCAAAATTATTTCAACTTTTCGGAGATATTATAATCAGTAAATTAGTTACACAACATTCGGAATGTAAGTAGCACATAAAATAATTCTCTCAAATTGAAGACCGTAATTCAAGCTTCGAGCATTCGCAATGCCGACTTATTATAATGTAAACAAACTTCTATTCTTTCAGAAGATAAGCGAGAGGGCGATCACGATATGACGGACGCCTTTGGTGAAGCAACAAGAGGCAGAGAAGCTGCCGTCACTTAGCAAGCAGTTTATACAAGAGCATTGCAAGATAAGATAGATTGAACAATCATGCAGCGAGGGTGATCGCTGTCCGCCAAGTGAGCACGGCTACACTCATGTTTAACATCACACAAACAAATCATTGACGCCTACACACAGCCAGATGAAAATAAGATGACTTTAGACGAGTCAATGATCATTTTTTAGCTCTCGTTAAAATACGATCCAAGGTTAGCATTCATATTACTTAATTGCTGAAATCACAAGTTAGCCAAAAATTTTCAAAGAAAATGCCACAAAAATTCAAGATATTTCCACTTAGAAGTTGGGTGGCGTGCAGTGGCAGAAGTTGGGTGGCGTGCAGTGGCAGGAGTTGGGTGGCGTGCAGTGGCAGGAGTTGGGTGGCGTGCTCGCTAATGCCGGTAATGACCAGCCCGGTAGCCCGACGTTCTCGTTAATGCATTAACGCGATTGCAGGCACTGGACGAGTGTCAGCACTTAACAAGAACAAGCGCCACTCGAGCACCCTAATTAAGCGATAAACAGCGACACTAACACACGAGAAATGAGCAACAATTGTGTCATTTGGCTGATGTACATTTTGTTCTCTTGTCTAGATGAGAACAAATACTTGTACGTGAGGCAGGTGGAAGCAGTTCATAAATAGCGAGGTAATGTGAATGCAATTCAAATAAATATTCGCGCACTCAATACATTGACAGATAAATGAACAGCAGGAAAATTTTTAAAGTAAAATTCAAATAGAAAAGGGGAAGTGTTATTTAATATTTCAAGATGAACCATTAGCGAACACCAGTAGACAACTTGTTGGCAGCATTTGTTGATTGCATATTATTTGTAACAATACATTTCTCGAAGAATTTGTTAATAATAGAGTTGTCTAAATTATTCAGTTAGCTGAGCGATACTCACACTTGTCTATTGTCCGCCGTTCTGGTGGCAAGTCCGAAGTCTCCGATCTTAACGTTCATGTCCTGAGAGAGGAACATGTTGCCCAACTTGAGGTCCCTGCAACGTACCAAGATCATTAAATTTATCTCAATCACCGCAAAGTTCATGAGAAGTCTAGAAATAAAAGTCAAACAGTTGCACATAAATAATAAAATTGAGCTGCAAATCATTTTATATTAGCCATTGAAGCGATTTACCGAGGATTAAGCCGACATTAAATAAGAGGATACGTTCTAAGGAGCGTCCGCTGCCATTCAAAGAGAAACCATTAACAATGATTGGTCGAATTAACTACTAATTATATACGAATCAATTATCTCGGTCAAAGTAGGAATTTGGGAAATCAAAAGGAGCAAATAAACCAATTTTCTTCGCAAATTTTCCCAATAACCTAGTCGCATGACTTCAAATGAACTCGACATGTAAATCGTGAGTGCGCAAGAATCAAGCACCGGAACAGATAGACGGCGATTGCTACAACACCGGTATGAATGGGTTTACTGGACAAGGCCGTGAATGCGCAGAATAATTCACCTGTGAATGATGCCCTCGCCATGGATGTATGCAACGCCCTCAGCGAGCTGGTGGATGAAGAAGCGCACCTCAGGTTCCGTGAGTGTCCGTCGGTACTTCAGCACGTGTACCAGAGACTGAAACACACACAATAATATTTGCATTTTATTCATAAGAAATACAGATAGCCGTAAGTTCCAACCAATCCAACGAATGGCCTACGGAAGGACCGACAAACTACGAATATATAAATTCTTGTTGCTGATTTGATACAATCAAAGGGATTAATTTTACCCATACGAATGTAGCTAGTGAATCCCAGACACCAATTTTATCATCTCCCTTATGATAACGGATGGCCGAAAATATTTTTGCACTTAAGTATAATAAAGCTCAAGTTCATTGAGCATACACTTGAAAACTGCATCGTATCATCGTTAGTTCCAATCACCGCCATTAAGAATATCTAAAGTGCATCCCAAATTGACGCTCCAAGACAGCTGAAGTGAAGGAGCTGAAGCTTGGCCTGTCAGGAGCCTTGAACCGCGCAACGTCACGGCGCCGCGTCACGCATCGCTGCCTCGACTTGCCAGCCCTGCAGCGGCTCTACGTGGCCACTATAAGCTCGCCACGCTGCGCCTTCGTCGTCAGATAAAGTTCGATGGGCACGAACACAACGGCATGCATGAACATGACGTCGCTGTCTGGCGCTGCGTCGAGTCAAGCAGCAGGATAATGACACCTAACATGCCGAGACCTATACGGAATGTCTTCGTCGTTCGTACAAATTAGCTATACAAGCGAGCATGCAGAAGAGGGAATAACAAAATGGAGCACTACTAGCCATAATGATGGACACATGCATGGGCCCTCAATACAAATTTATACTTCATGAATGATTGTATGAGGAACGCGAACTGTAACCTGAACAGCAATAAACTAGAATTTGTGCTAGGCGCCGACCTAAATCTGGGTTGTTGCCTTAGGGACGAGAAAAATTTCTTAAGTGTTGGTAACGCGAGCAGAGACATGCACACCACAAGCAAACGAGTCTGTTTACGAGTCTGATTTTAGCGAAAGCAGCTGAGCAGATGGGCAATGTGTAAACTAAGCCATGACCCGCACTCATTGTACACTGTACACAGACCCGCCGAGACATTAAGCGTAAACAGTTGCTGCAGACGCTCACTAGAACGAGCGCCTCTAATGAGCCGTTTTCTTAACGACGCCAAAACATCCAAGCTGCCGACGTTCAAGCACGACGCCAGTTCGCAGAGAAGTCAATCAACGCCAATCACTTCATTTGCATTTACCCATGCTTCAGTTTGAGATATGAAATATATGGTTGCTAAGACGTCTGAAAGAAACTTTACCAACTGAATTTGGACACGGATTAATGTTCTTAGTTGTTCCCTATATAGCCTTCCTATACGCGTGTGTGGACATGTCAAACGTGGTGTTCCTTGGTATAGGAACAAATAGAACCTCTCCATGCTTCGTTCATTCGCGGCTCGCATTAACAACACCCGCTGACAATGCATGAAGGAAGTGTTTAGAAAATGCCAGTTCAGTACAATTTCGTTTCTGCTAGCAATTTTGCTTGGAAAAATGAATTAGGTACGGGGAAATATAGAAAATAATGTCTTCGTGCTGCTTAATTGGAAAAATAATAATATATCAAAGTAATAGTTTGTTAAAAAATACAATAGTTTCATTTTAGATTCTTCCCATTTTTGGCAAGTTGAACGTGTGTGAATCGCGTTACATCAAAATAATCGTAAATGAACGTTTGATAGTTTCTGTAACGTAATACACAACAAAAAAGTAATAATGAAAAGTGACAATCAATGGGCAAATAACAAGTGACCGTACACCTAAATCGAAGAATTTAAGAAGAACTCAGTTTTTCGAGTTTATCTAACATGACAACAAAATTGCGATAATGGCAACATATATGACTTCACATAACAACCTCGACGACAAAAACCCACGATATAAAAGCAAGAGCGAGACCGACTCACGCATTGGCCTGCCCAAGATGCACGCTCACATCTCTGGCGTTGGCATCGTCGATAATCGAGCGAGAATAACAGCACGGATTTGTTCACTTCGCGAAATCTTCAGAAAAAGCGGAATGTCGGACACCAAAAGGTACGTCAACAGGCGTGCAATCTCAAGGTTTAACTCGTGACCCAGCTAACTGTTCCACAAATTTTGCTAGTTTAAAGAGGTGGTTCATATACTACAGCACTCAACGGCAGGCTAACTCCAACCGAAAGCAAAGTACGGACGAGGATCTCGGCCATGGAAACTAAAACAAAGTAACTATGGAGTATTTTGTCCGTAAGTACCGAACAGGAGAGTTTTTCCAAAAATCCTTACGTTAACATAGTTGCGTCTATATGAGCTCATAGCGTTCTAGTAATTAGTATTGAACGCGATAGGTCGTTAAGCGCCAAAATCATAGCATAAAGATTGCAAATACTAAAACTATCCATTATCTCTACATGACATAACACTTTAATCACACACATAGCATGATTGAAGTCATAGCATTATTTAAGTTTGTCCTACTTCAGCATGAATGCAAAGAGTCCATAAAGCCTGAGCATTGAACAGTAAACTATAAGTAATGGAGTGCGAAAGCCCATTAAACTGTACTGACCCGCATAGAACAGTTCTCGAGGATGATGTAGACATTCGAGTCGTCCTCGAAGTAGCGGTGGAAGCGCACGACGTGCTTGTGCTGAAGTTGTCTGTGAACTTCAATCTCACGTGCAATCTGAAAAAAAAGCAGGAAACAAACTCGTTATCACACAGTCTTATTATAGGCGAGCAAAAAAAAAATAAAATACATGGATATCTTGGGGTAGATCAATTAGTACTTGAAACTTGCAAAATTTCCATAAATTCACACAATTTATTCATTTAAACCCATTTCACTGCCAACATCAGCACCAAGTTTTCGCTTGAAATTTACCGATGAATCGCACTCTGATCCTCCGTTTCAGCTCACCACGATATAGCGAACTTCAAGTTAAATAATTAAAACATTTCTTTTCGGGGCATGTATGATGAAGGGAAATGATAAGTCAGAAGCATACAAGAACACGTCAGGGAACACGATCAAGAAACCAAACCGTTACAGGAACTAGGCTCGAATATTCATGAAAACAACAGCTTTAACAAAAAAAAAATAAGTCGAATACAAGACTGGCGATAGGCTTGACCTCCCAGCCTGTGAATATCGTAGCATTCACGCTAAAATATTTCCGTACAAACTTCGAGGACAGACTAAAGAGAATCATACGCACGCACGTTCCCTTATTGCCGGAGGCAAAACAAGAAAAAAATCCCGGAGGTTTCAGTACCTACTGCACAAGTTCTGAAGAAACTGTGAAATCAAGCACGAATATCACGGAATTCGGGACAAGCGTTATAGCAAAATAATCGTAAATGAACGTTTAATAGTATCTCTAACGTAATACACATCAAAAAAATAATGAAAAGTGTCAATCAATGGGTAAATAATAAGTGACCATATATCTAAATCAAAGAATTTGAGAACTCAGTTTTTCGAGCATATCTAACGGGGCAGCAAAATTGCGATCATTGCAACATACATGACTTCAAATTAAATGAAGCACAGTTATTAACTGAAAAAATTAATACAAAATAATAAATTTAATTTTTTTAATTTTCAATACAAATAACAAATGAATTACAATTCAACCTTAAATAAGCGGAGTTTGATCACTTGAAAATTTTCAAATCAAGTGAATTGTGAATCGTTTCAAATCAAGTGAATCAATATATGTTTTGAAGCTGCGTACGGCATATTTTGCCAGAGCGCAATATACTTAGATCCTGAAAAAGATAGGGTAAGATTTGAAAGAATATTATACTGACTATTATGTTCTAGTACCCAAATCTAATACTAATCTGCACTTCGAGGTGGACGATCCACTTTGGCTGACCGGCAACATATTATTCCTATGAATATAAGTCATAAAGATCATCATTCTTTATGAATATAACTGACGATATGATTATGATCATAAATCGGGAAATTCCCGAACGAATGGACGAATTTACGGGGGGGGAAGGTAAAATGACTCTGCTGACCGCGCACCGCGAGGCGGCCGTGTGAAAGGTGACAAGGACGGTCTTGAACAGCACCAAAGACCAGGAAATGCTATTCTTATTCCACGGTTCACATGAACACTCAAAGTGCCACCACCTCGCGGCTATAGCTCGAGGCCTCAGTGGTAATTACAAGACGGCTCAATGCACCAACATTGATGTAAATGTAAATATTAAGATTGCACATGATTTAAAATGTGGTGAGTTGAGTCTATACGTACGCGATTGGTCGTGAAAAATGTTTCATTTAGGTTTTAAGAAAATCATACATCTATTCAATACGCAAGACTTTGAATTTAGGAGACAGAATCGAGATCCGTGCAAACTATGGGAAAATTATCTCATTTGCAAATTCGAGGAGGAAGAGTTGGACAGCTCGTAGAAAACATTGTGGTGCACATTGAAAGCAAATGGTTGATAACGCGCAACTGGTGATTCAGTATTTTTCAGTCAAGTATAAAAATATAGCCTTGCTGCATATACATAAATTTTCAACGAGTGCATTATTTTTTCATTATTTATCGAAATCCTACAAACTTAGATGATCAATCCTCATGATTCAGTGTCAAATTATCATAAAATATACCCGGTTGAAAAAATTTATTTGTGCGCATGTTGCATGTTCACCCTCTAATTCAGGCACCATTACAAATACATGTGTCAGAAAACAACGTCGTGCCTACCTACTCAAGGAGCTATGATCCCAGATGAACTTGAATGGAGATAATGCATTCATGCCCCCATAAAAACTGGACGCAGATGCACCTCAGCAGCCGAGCCGCTTTTTACGGTGCCCGAGGCTTACGAATTTTTCTTTCGGTTGCAGCTGCGTGTACTTAGATACTCAGTTCTTCTCAAAAAAGACGACACGATTCAAATCTAATACTCTACATCAGATTAATTTCTTATAGTATGAAATTGTGAACAGAATTCCAACTTTGTATTAGTAACAAACTTGAGATCAACACACATAATATAAGGTCCCAGGGCGTACGTTAATTACGACTTGAGGGCACATCTTCCAGTCTCAGTACCCTGACAGGCGGCGACCGAGGGCGAGGCGACGAACAGCTTCAAAAAATATTCGACGCCCACGACTCTGTAGGGCATTTTTTCTCGTGTCCGCGCTTAGACACGCAATTTACATCAATGCAGAGTTTGCTAAATTTGAATGCAATTGATCCCGTAACAAAAAATCAGAGAATGCATCAAATTATAGATGGATGCAGCTAACAGCAGATCTGGAATGTATGAAACTCGTTCAGTATTCTGTGCCAAGACGTAGGCGTATGAGAGGTGCGATTACCGACTATATATAGTCATGTAAGCGGCTCTCATACTAAGCACGTAAGTTTTTATGGTTATGCTGAATCCTAATTAAATATTTTCGTTTTTCATTCCCATGGACACAATATTTTCTAGCGCAAAAAAACAGATACTGCATGAAAATTCTCCCAAAATGAAGTAATAATGTACACGGTACGTCCGTAGTTGTTGAAGAATTGGCAAGCAGCAAATTCGGGACATCTGCAAAGCTTTATGAGCCGTGTGAAGCTGCCTCAGAGGCTTGAACAAGACCTGCTGTGCGTACCCAGCAAATGCAACAGACCGTCACTCGGTTCATGGCTCAAAAGTTGGGCCAAGGACTGTAATTTCGTCACCAAGATTGCATTTAAAATACGTAAACAGAACTACAGAGCGCAGCCGCGCATACCAAAACTCTGAGGCTGAAACTTTGTTGAGGCGAGACAAAAACAAGGCCAGCTCGTTGTCCGTTGTAGTGATAGCAAGGCAATGGCGGCGCAGGTCAATTTCTGAACCCACGGAATCAAGTTATTGATGCGACGCATCATCGGGGAAATGTATCGAAATTTTTGTAGCGAGGGGTTTGGAAACTTCAAGCTGTAATCTGCCCTAAACCAACCGAATGAATTTATCAAAGCAAATAAATTACCACATGATGGTGGATAATTTCACGCAAAATCAATAATACAATCGTTTAATTTCTAAGGACAACAGAAATGGCCAAGTGTGAAAGCACCTTAAACAAAAATTACCTTTCTCGAGACCACAGAGAAGCGAGCAAATTTATTGTGAGGAGGTTATGCGGAAATAAGCACATTAGTCATAAGGAATTACAATCGAATTGTAGTGACGGCCTTCAGGTGTCAAGTTCACCCAACGAGCGACGGAATGAGACGGTAATGATGGACGCTGACAACGCAAGCGACTAGACGGCTGTCTAGTGGGAAGATGTTGCTGACAATGCGTTCTGCCTCTCGCTTATAACAAGCCAACCAGTCTTGTCTGCCACTCTCCCTTATCAGTAATAACTTCACAAAAAATTCTCATAATTATGCATCTTTGCACGTTATTTGCGCGCTGATTTATAGGTAAATAAATTTATCGGTTTTGAAAACTAGAAAAGAAAAATACAAAATAAGCAGAAATTCGTAAGTTCATTTAAGCCCAGCCTTCCCTTGTATCGTTTCCGGTATTGTCTTTTAGAATTCGGCTTTGGGCTTGTCTTTACTATCAACTTGTCAGCATAACACAGTTAGATTCGCAATTCCGAGGCCCATTCAGGGAAGTCTATAAAAGAGCGATCAGAGGTTCCAAATATTAGCGTAGCACCGCACTGCAAGCACAAAGGGAAGGATGACTAAAGCCGAATAGAAGAACAAAAATAATGAATGAACAACATGCCCAAGTACAAAAATACTCAAATTAGAACGCATTTTCTTCAGGCCAACAGTCACTTTTAAACTTTCCAAAGCGAATCAATCTCAGTCCTTGTTTCGTAGTCTTTCTCTGTGGCGGAATCGCGGAACACAACGACAGTTAAAATGCATTCCTAATCGAGGTCATCTCCATTCTCCACGGTGACTTGAGAACAAATTGAGAAAATAACTAAATTTACGTTTAATACTTCATTACATCCCCTTACAACACAACTAAAACTTATACCAAGTCCTTAAAACAATAACGTTCCAAAAAACACGACAGTGTGACGGTGAGCGGAACACAGCAAATTCATTTCAATGGAGATTGATAATAATAAGAGTAAAAAGGTAGAGCGAGAAAGGCGGCAACTTACAAAGGCACGCTCCGTCTACACTTAAAAGGTTTCTGTGTGCTCGTTTTTGTATACTCAAGTAACTCGACTGATCATCAGTACGAATTCAAAAATGTGTCTCGATGAGACTATGTCAATCAGTATCACGATGTGACCACCTCACGAGAACGTGTGAAAGGCGTCGTGATGCTGACAATTTCATTGTGCGTGATGCTGTTGACACAGAAGATCATTATTAAAAGGTTCGTAAAACCTGCAGCCTTTGTTAACTTTCTACGTCAGTCTTGAACATCAACTAGTTTTGTACTAGAAGAATGACATGAACAATTGTAATTCTAGACGCTACCGCCGCTCAATCAAATGGTGTTTCAAGTAAGAACTGGTGTTGTTCAGTCTTATGTTTTCCAATAAGATACCCGATAAAGACATCTGCGTTAAGTATATCTTAACAAACCGTAGTAAAAGTTTGTGCTACATGAGTTACCTGCAAGAGCTTGGATAGAAAATAATTGCCCATTCCATGAACAAGATTACGAATGCTAGGAGACGGTCAGTATTAAATC